GTAGACTTTTAATGTTTTCTTGGAATACAAGACTAACTTTATGTGGTAGATTTTTGGCAGTGATATTTATATTAAGTAGATTTATAATTAATTCGGTAGATTTTTAGGTAGATTTAGTTATGTTATTATTTGGTTTGACTGATGTGAAATTACTATACATGCCAAGCAGTCGTGGATGACGGAGATGCAGGAAACATCAGAGCCAGGTTTTCCTGTTGCAAGAGTTGTTACAACCCCAGCGTCGAGAGGAAAGACTGTAACCAAAGTGAAAAAAGAACATGCTGATCCTAAAGAGAAGAATAAATCAGGCACAAAGTCAAAACCTGATTTAAAAGACAAAAACGAAGAAAGCCAGATAATCAATATAAGCGACGTTTCACGCCCACTACAGTCTAGACGAGTACAGATCCCTTCCCTGCAAGACGAAGACGACTCAGCGATTGAAGCTATGAAGAAACGCTTAGATAAGCTGGTGGAACATGCAAAAAATCCACCTGCTGAGAAGGAAAAAAGGGGACGCAGCCTTGCACCGACCCAGGTTTCACCCTACCTTGGTAACTCAGTGGTGAGACGCATCATGGACCCAGCAGGTCCCCCTCCTGGGAGGTATGATCCTTTTGAAGCGGTGGACAGTCGAATACTGGATAATCTAACCCGCTACGTAGCTTTTGAAGCGTAAGTCAGTTTTAAATTTCCATGGTAGACTTACTTGTTTGATTTGGTAGACCTATTTGTTTTATATAGTAGACTTATTAGGTATGTTGGTAGACTTACTTCGGAGTCTGGTATGTCTATGTCATTTTTCAGGGAAAAACAGTTGGAGAGTCCATATGCAGGAGGAGAATTTTACCTGACACTAATGACCCCTAAAGAAAGCTGGCCGAGAAAGGAGTATGGGTGGTTGCATGATCAGGTATGTGGTCGTATCAGTCACCCGATCTTAGTTTCAAAAGGTTTGGTAGACTTTGGAAATTGTTTGGTAGACTTTGGAAACTTAATGATAGAATTACTGTGGTAGACTTGTAGTAACAAATGGTAGATTTAGTCATTATGTTTGGTGGACTTGTATTATATTATGTAGTAACAAATGGTAGATTTAGTCATTATGTTTGGTAGATTTGTAAAGCTGGTTGGTAGACTTATATAAATTTGTTTCATTACCTAATGCAGCATATGTGCAAAGGATTAGACATGTTCCGGCAACGGTCTATGCGGTATCCATCTCCTTACAAAGGGGGAAGAGTTGCTTTCATTGATCATATCTTTTGTCGAGTTTGGTGTGGAGACTATCGAACCAAATTTCTACCAAACGAGAAGAGTTGGATATTCAGTGATGGTTATTTGGACGTTGCCAACGGTCACTACGACCATTACTTGCCTACACACAAGAAATGGGGGACAGATGTTGATTTCGTGTATATCGTCCACAACGTGAACAACGAACATTGGGTAGCCGTTGAGGTCGACATTCCCAAAAAAAAGATCCGAGTGTTTGATTGCATTCCAGATTTATACAGAAAAGGCGAGGTGGAGGAGTCTGTGAAGCCCTACGCGAGGATGATTCCGCTGTTGTTGAAACATATGGCACCACCGGAGCTCAAGAAGGGTATGAAGGAGGGGCAGTTTCATATCTACATGGATAAAACAGCGGCACTAAACAGACAGACAGGTGCAATGCAGCTCTGTAGATTTGGTATTTTTATTTGGTAGACTTTTAACTAATTATCGGGTACTTGTTATCAGGTGATTGTGGCGTCTTTACTTTGAAGACCATCGAGTGTTTTGCTTTGTGCCATAAATGGGACCAGCTGAAAGATAGCAACATGCCTCTCATTCGTATGAAATACGCAGCTGAGATTTTTGATGAGGTACATGAAGCAGAAGAATCCCGGATGTCTGATCCTAACCCTCAAAGTTTATTGATGACAAGTACGGTTTACAGACAGACTCCGCTAACTGAGATCTTGGTTTGGTAGACTTTTGGGATCTGAAATCGTTTTTTGGTAGATTTAATACTCAGATCCAAACTAATTGGTAGACTTTTGGTATCGGATATTGTATTTTGGCCGATTTATTACTCATAGCCAGCCTCTTTGGTGGTCTTTTGGAATTTAGACGTCGCTTGTGTTTTGGAATTTAAAGCGACTCGCCATGGCTGTAAAAGGAACCTGCTTTGTAGATTTATAACATGATTGGTAGATTTATTGCATGAATGGTAGATTTATAACATGATTGGTAGATTTATTGCAATATTGGTAGATTTATAACATGATTGGTAGATTTATTCCATGAATGGTAGATTTATAACATGATTGGTAGATTTATTGCAATATTGGTAGATTTATAACATGATTGGTAGATTTATTATTGTAAAATAGTAGAGTTTAGATAAAACAAGTTCCAGATTTACAAGTACATAAAACAAGGTTTTCAAGCGGATTATTGCAGTCTATAATAGTACAAATACAAGGTTTTCGATTTGTCAACTAAGCTCGACAAGTTAGGCGATTATGTCCGCCTTGGCCACAATTACCACATTTGGGGATCTTCCGAGGACGTTTACTGGCCATGGCGGCCTCGAACGCACCCTTAATCCGAATTTTCTTTGGCCTGCCGGGTCGGTTGCGAACATCAGGCGGGAGACAAATTTTGGTTGCTACTTCATCTGGCACAGGGAGTGCTACGTCTCTTGGCATCACACTAACAGCATACGCTTGTTGCAAGTAACTAGTGTGGTAGTAATGATGGCAAAGAGAGATCGGCGGCGGCTATGGCATGTACGCAAGGAATTTTATCCAAATCAAACCGTCGACAAGTACATGTTTTCTCCGTTAAATTGACAACATGTGCAGATGTTGTGCCTAAAACCTCTGTACGATGCTGATCAATCTCTTGCACAGGTAAGAGTTTAGCATCTTCAACTCTAGCCTGTCGGCAAGGAATTATTTAGAAGTTATATAAGTCTACCACATAGAAGTAATAACTCTACCAAATAATTGAAAGTCTACTAGGAATTATTTAGAAGTTATATAAGTCTACCACATAGAAGTAATAACTCTACCAAATAATTGAAAGTCTACTTAATAGCAGAGATAAGTGTACCAAGTCTACCAAATAATAGAAAGTCTACCTAATAGCAGATACAAGTCTACCAAATAATAGAAAGTCTACCTAATAGCAGATACAAGTCTACCAAATAATAGAAAGTCTACAAGGTAAAGTAGTGTCTACCTCCAACAACTTTTCAACGCCCGTTGTTAGAGTGGTAGCCATGTTATTGGCATTCACACGTCTTTTAGCAAACCACCTGGTCAGGAAACTCCTTATATCATCCACTAGTCGTACGATAGGCTTACCTCTTGCAGCAGATAGCACCTTGCTTAATGACTCCGCTCTGTTGCTAGTGGTGAAATTGTACCTATCACCTTGGAAGTGTACACGACTCCACATACAAATATCTGCCTTCACCAAGTATGCATGCAGTGCAGGATTTGCCTCTTGAATCTGAGCAAAAAGGGCATTGAACTCGAGAAGTCTATAAGCAGTGGCAGCCTTCTTAACAAGCTTGAATGTTTCAGCGCCTCTGAATTTCACCATAATGTTCTTATGGAGATGATATGTACAAATACCCCGACTAGCAAGAGGGTAAACCTTCCCTATAGCATTTCCTATGGATTTATGCCTATCACAAATAATGGCAAGTCCTTCATCATCAGGAATAACACGGTGTAGTTGTGTAAAAAACCATTCCCAAGACTCATCGTTCTCAGTATCAACAACAGCAAAGGCTACGGGAAAAATGTTGAAGTTTCCATCTTGCGTGGTGGCGAGTAGTAGTGTACCTTTGTATTTTCCATGTAAAAACGTACCGTCGACCACTACCACTTTCCTCATGAAGGGAAACCCCTGTATGCTTGCGCCAAATGAGAGGAACATAAATTTGAATCTATCTTCCTCATCAACTTCTAGCTTGATTAGTGTACCCGGATTTGCTCGCCGAATCATATATAAGTATGAAGGCAGATCTTCATAACCACTTTCAGACATCCCTGATACTAGTTCTCGAGCATACTTTAGGGCCTGATGTGCTTTCCAATAGTCAACCTGATAATGAGAAATAATATAGTGAAGTCTACGAAATAAGATAATAACTCTACCATAAAGATAATAACTCTACCATAAAGATAATAACTCTACCATGCTAGATAATAACTCTACCAAATAAATTATATAAGTCTACCAAATAAATTATATAAGTCTACCAAATGAGCTAATAACTCTACCAAAAAATAAAAAAGTCTACCAATTGAGCTAATAACTCTACCAAAATAATAATATAACTCTACCACATACCTTTATACTATATCGTTTGGTCAGAGCTTCGGCGACGTGATTTGGTAAGACTTTTGGGCCAACACCGCCGACGAAGTCCTTATATAGACGGCCTAGAACCTCATGGGTTGCATGGTGGGTGCGTTGTGATCGCACAGTCACAGAACACGTGTGTTCTCGAGTATAAGTTTTAACCCAAAAACATTTGCTGCTCCCAACAATTGAAGCGCGAACCCTCCATTTGCAACCATCTACCCAACACTTAACAGTTAGCAATTTCTTACTCGAATGATCGACATTGTAGTCGAATTTGTGAGCAATGGAAAGAATTTTGAGTCGCATCTCGAAGTCCTCTTTTGTTTCATAACGCTGGCCAACGGCTAAGTCTAAAGATGAAAGCTCTAGACTTTAAAGTCGGGAATTGTAGTCGGTCCCCTTTTCTTCGGTGGTAGATTTAGCGACTCCTCCTCATCTGAACTCTCACCATCTGGACGTTTCTCACGTCTACCGTACTCTTCGTCATCGGAACTTGCACCATCAGGATCTTCGCATCCATCAAATCTGGTTGACAAATCCTCTTCTTCATCATGCATTTCTTCGTCTTGTCCAACTTCAACACCTTGTTGCGGACGATCTTGGCGCACTTGTTCTTCAGGGACTAGATTAGGACATGCATCTCGATCTTCGTCTTCATCAACAACTCCCTTCTGAACTTTTTCTTTGATCTCAACACATAAACGAACCGTTTCGTTTTCGTTCTGGAATTGATGCAAAAAACTCTGCAGCTGTCTTGAATTACCAACAAACACAGGAGGTGTATCCAGAGGTAATTTCCGCCGGACTTCAGACGACAACATATAGCTGAACTGAAGCTCATAAAGATGTTGATCCAACCCGAAATCTTCATATGCGATTTCAACCAAATTGGCAAAGGACGTTTTGCGGTCTATCCCTATAAAACTACATCTCCTGGACTGATCTACGATGAAGACCCACCTCGTTTTCTTTAAAACCCAGTGACCACAAACCAAAACAACTTGATCCATGAATATAAAAGTGGATAAGAGGCACAAGATCGAAGTAGAAGGAAAAAATCAAGAGTTATCCCAAGTTTAACAGCTCGACGGCGAAACCTAGAGGTTGAAGATGGACTCTGGTTTTGTTCCGTACTTTAGACAATACATACAGGGCAAAAAAGTAAAATCGCACTGCCCGATAACTAAGTCTACCACATTGATATTGAATCTAACAATTTACAAACAAATCTACCATATAGGTCACTAAGTCTACCATTAATAAAACATATGTACTTGTAATGTTTATAGCTCTACCAACTAAAGTACAGTACATTTAAGGAGGTGAAAACCCAGCAGAAAACATAAACTTATGAGCGAGTTTTGATATAAATCGGCTGGTCTTGCGATATAAGCGAGTTCAAACGGTAATAGCGACGTCTTGGCTTCGTCGATTCCACCGACGGCGAAGGAGTACTCACACATTATTTGGTATGAACATTCATAACCGCGGTAAACATTTAGTGTTCATAGCATTAAACGACTTTTGTTATAGATTATTGGAGTTTTCTATCATTGTTGGGGTTAATGTTCAAACTAAAAGTCGTCCTGCTTTAGTAAAAGTGATAAAATGCATCTATTTCGTCGTCGAAAGGTTGTTTCTCGGCTATCGGCGGCTGTATGCCTAAACCCAGAAACCCTAGTTTTTGTGTGAGTGGTAGACTTTTTAAATATGTAGTAGAGTTTACGTATTTTCATTTATAGTAGACTTTTCTGGTTTTATGGTAGACTTTATGCTGATGGTAGACTTTAAATATTTATAGTAGACTTTTGTTTATTTTGATTTGTGTTGTTTAGTACTTTTCTTATCGACACAGACAATGTCGAGCTATAGCGACAGTTCTTCTGAAGAGCCGGAAATGGATACGTTAAAGTGGTCGGGTTTTGGGGACTTTGGGATTCAAGAGAAGTGTTATTGTGGTCGGGATATGATCCTCAAATCAATGCCTGGTGATACGCCCGCAACACCTGGCCGTAGGTACTACACTTGTCCATTCTGGTTGAAGAAGGTAAGTAGCTTGAGTATTTGTCATAAGTTTTCTTAAAAATATCCATTTGTTAATCTTTAGTTAACTGTTGTGATACTTAATGTATGAGATTGGCCTGATGTATGTAGGGGAATCCAGACCATATCTGGAAATGGTGGGATAAGGCTGTTACAGAGGAATTGGAACGGTTGAAGATTGGCCTTGAGCAGAATAAGGAGAAATTGCAAGAGCTTAGCAGGGCTCAAGCTTTTGATCCTTGTTTCATGCGTTTGGAGAATCGTTTCCAGTCATTGGAGAGGTCTATGGAATGCAATGACTTGGTCGGAGACATTCGGGAAATAAAAGATGAGATACTCCGGCTTCAAGGCGACTTTGTTTGGATGACGGAGCAAAACGCCAGGGGTGACCACTACTTGATGATGGCGTTGCTGTTCGTGTTTGCAGCCATTGCGTATATGTTAAGTACAAGTCCGTTTCCTTATGTTTAGTAGATTTATATTAAGTCGAATGGTAGACTTATATTAAATTGTTGGTAGATTTGTTGTAAAAGACTTGTCATGTTCCCAATTACAGTCGAACGAATGGTAGACTTATATTATATTGATGGTAGATTTGTTATAATTAATAGCTTTCGAAATGAATAACACATAAATCTACTTAACACAACATAAATAACATAACATAACTTTCATAAGTCTACTTCATAATAAAAACAAATCTACTTAACAGAAGTCTGTCAACAAACATGAAAGTACAACTACTGATGCAAAAAACGTGGCCAATCCATAGCAAACGACGGTACTACCCACCATAAATTGGCACACTCCAATTTCCAGAAGCAGGATTCACAAAGTTGATCCCCATACGTCTCTAGCAGGTATTCATCTCCCATCCATTGCATGTCTGGTACTTTGAGACAACCACAAATCCTTGTACTTAAAGACTTTTTATAAGCCTGGAAAACCATTTCCACCAGTTCCTCGGGCTTCTGGAAATTGAACGCAGGCATGAAGATCTTTTCCATTGTCAATCTCATTTTCTTTGCATCTTCCCGGGAGAGAGCTTTAACAGAGTTAAATACCTCTGATGTGCCATCCATGGTTAGATGTAACATAGTGTGGCAGTACTTACCCATGAGAAATCCGTTGTCTGATGCCATTTGAATGAAATCACACCCTGCTTGGAGGTTGTGTTCGAAGAAAATCAGCGATAAACCTCTTCGCAATTGTGCGGATGGATTTCCTGCCGCCAAGCATCGACTGAAGAATGCACCGACCCTTCCATGAACATCCCACTTCTACGGCAAGATAATGTTGATTAAATCAAAATTCCTAAGAAAACCCGCTTCGTTAGAGATGTTGTTAAGTGTTTTGGACGAAACTTTTGCAAGACAAAGATCCGCATACGAGTTTGAAGATATTTTTAACAATATCTCGTACAAAAGATCAGAAGGAAGCGACTCGAGATTCGCCATAGGGTTTAGCGGGATGGGAAATGAATCGTCTCGGTTGTGGTATTTATAGAGAACTCACAAGAGAACTCGAAGCGACTCGAGTCAATAGAAGTTCTCGAAATCGATGCGACTGTTCGTTGGAAAATGCATCAAGAGAAGTTCTCTAAATCGATGCGACGGTTCGTTGGTAACGGTTTATGGTTACCGTTACCATAAGTCTACCATATGGACGAAAATTGCAAGACGTACAACACTGCAACCATAAGTCTACCAAACAGTAGGTTTTTTTGTACATAGAACAATTCTTTTGGACAAAAAAGTAATTTTACTCCATAAAGTCAAATGTCTGCCAAACATTAACTACTAAGTCTACTTCAAGCATGACAAATAACTCTACCATATAAACAAGTCTACCATAAGCATGCCATATGTCTACCATATCAAGGTTAACTCTGTAAATACCAAACTTAATTAATCTACCACATTGTTATTTCAAAAAGTCTACCATACGGCCGATAAGTCTACCATATTACATAAACTCTACCAAACATACAAACAAATCTACCAACATCTTGTAAGTCTACATCATGTCATTATTAATCTACCACAAATCAGAATGAAATTTATTTAAAATATAAGTCTACCACAAAACAAACATATCTACCACAAAACAAATAAATCTACCAACAGTTTTTAAGTCTACCTCATGTAACATATAATCAACCACTCACCGGAATGAATTTTAAGTGAAACAAGTCTACCACAAGTGAAACAAATCTACTACAATAGCTAAAACTCTACCAACTATATATAACTCTACCATTAAACAGATATATCTACCGCACGTATTGACAACTTTTTTCACATAAATCTACCGCTAAAGGAAATAAGTCTATCAACTCAGAAAATAAATCTACTTCATTGTCAATAAATCTACCGAAAAAGTCAACTATGCGAAAAAGTCAACGCTTTTGTTAACAAGTCTACCAAAACTTTTGACAAGTCTGCCATTCATAACAACAAATCTACCGAAACATAATAAATCTACCTCTCATCGTCAAAACTCTACCAAGAAAAGTCTACCAACATTTAAAAACTCTACCAACTCTTGGACAAATCTACCATCGCCCTAATAACTCTACCAACAAAATTTCTGCGTTGACCAAATTTTCATAAGTTTACCGTCATTGCTTGGTAGACTTATTAATTTTTGAGCACATAAATCTGCCTACGTGGCATTAAAAAAGTAATAGTATTTTCGTAATAAGGTTTTTTTCAACAAAGGCGAAAATAGTGTTTTGGGTATGCTAGGTTAGTTTTGTAAAAAAAATAAAAGTGCGTCGAACCAGTAATATAGATACTTTCTAAGGTTAGTGTAGTAATCCTCCAATAATAATAATAGTCCAATACGTATTTGCATTCTAATGAAGAAACTAAAATATTTCGGGATGCTCTTTAGACGGATACGATCCGTCTCTGATAATATTCTATGCGTACCCAAAATCCGAGATAGATCAAAATAGCTATAGGCTAAATCAAATAATTAGACAATTTGTTATTCTCGCTAACAAAAAAAAGTACACAATCTTAAATTCAAAGTTTTGTTACTCAACTTTTTGTTATAATTACGTGTTTGTTTTAATTGGATAGACAAGTAGGACGATATACAGGCAAGAAAATACAATTGAGGATTTGGATTTGAAATAAATATGTTTCATTTGTGTGAAACAGTTTACTTTAATACAAAAAATTGATTGGTCTCTTTGATGTAACATATCTTAGCTTATTGTACAAAACAGGCTGGGCATGTTTCATTAACTAAATGTATGATGAGAGAGGTGGGTCATCGTCTAAGTTCCTAACATATATCTCATGTGTTTTAGATTAGTTTTTGTCGCATAAGTTTTCGTGTGGGTCTAAGCAGCTCGAAAATAAATCTCATGCTAATAATGAATTAATACGTGGCAGTTGTGGAAACATTGGCAGAATATTTTTCGAAGATTTTTTTGGTGATCATTTTTTTGTTGTCGTCAATTCTTTTGGTGCTCAAGTTAATGTGAGTTTCGTGATGTCTGATGATTTTAGAGAATCACAGACGTACTTTGCTATTTTTTAAATTTTTTAAAAATATTTTTGGAGATGAAAATAAAACAAGATAAAAATAGAAGATTGTAAGAATATGTCTAAATTTTATTTAATAGTTATTACCTTTTTTCTTTCTAACATAGAACGATATTATCATTCATAAATTTATGCATATTTAATAGATTGTAAGAATATGTCTAAGAATAGATTGTAAGAATCTTTATGCATATTTAAAATTTTAAAAATATTAAGATAAAAACTGATTCTGTAGATTTTATTTTACTATATTAACTTTTGAAGTTTGCTACGTCAATTTATATTATTAGCTACTGGAATATTTGGAAATGTGACCAATGTCATTCCAACTTTACCCCATTACCCAGGTTAGAACATACATAGCTCATGCGGTCATGTCCCCATGATTTGCTTAACCCCACAGTTTTTTTTTTTTTTCTTCAATTCTTGTCAACATAGAACAATATTATCATTCATATATATTCCCTGCTTATTTCCAAGCAATTATTTAGCTTTTATGAGTTTATCTTTTTTTCTCCAGTTTCTTCGTTTGGCTGTCACAATATATTGTTTTCTTTATTAATCAAACAGTTGTAACGTCAAAAACAGAATCAGTTTATTATACGAAATTATCACATGTTTAAAATTATAATTTCGTATTCTTGATGGAAAATACTTTTTTTTTTGGTACGATAGAAAATTCTTAATTTTAGAAATACAAATGCGACACATTAAGAAGCGTGTGGATCAACCTTCAATGCAACTCACACCAAGAATTATGAGGAGTAAGGGTCTCTCAAAACGTGAATTCTCCGATGACTCAACAATTGATCTTACCACTTACCGAATACTAGGATAGAAACCTACGAAACCTAATGAATAAATTTTGGATTTTGCTAGTAAGAGGTTAGGTTACCACCCTTTTGTCTTTCACATATGGACTGCTATCTTTTGATTGGTTTTGAATGTATTCCTTATAAGTTATAGCCAAAATATAAGAACAATTTTGTAAGCGCCAATTTTTTTTGAATGATCGAAAAGAAATATAATATATATAAAGAGGAGGAACCGAGGAAGTTAACCAGTATTGATCCGATGGCTTAGAGATTAAAATTAAGTAGTGAAGAATTTAGTAATTTAATTTATCATAAAAGTTTTGTTAAAAGGCTTAAAGTGTGAGGTTGCAGGTTGTAACCAGCAAGCTTTTACAGATAAATTACAACTTTCTTCAATTTTTTGGACCCACTTGTCTCTAACCTTATAATTTTTCCCTCTGCTCAAACGCACTAAAAAAAAAGCTAAAAAATTGAATGTATAGTATCAGCTCATATAATGCTTTGTATTTTGGTAGTACACTTCCAAATAATGTATAATGGTAAATTAATTTACCTCAAGTATATAGGTAAATGTAAGGCTAAGCAAAACAAGCCAATTATATACATTATTTTTCCATAACAAAAATTTTGAATCAAAACTCATATTAATATATACTTAATTAGGAACTTGTTACTCTTGTAACTGAAAAATCGTAGTGACATACTCAAATTCGTATTCGAGTTCGGAGAATTATCGAATACGACATCATGTCTAACCAAAACAATCTATAAAGTGTGAGATTAAATCGGAGTTAACAAAACATATAGGCTAAAAAGTAAAAAAAAATATATAGTAAAAGTAGTGATGGTTTGTTAATGCAAATTAAGCAGTACATTTTGAGGGACTTTTGGTTGAAACGCAGTTGCGGCATGCATACAGCGATTGGTACAGCTGGTGGTTTGGTTTGTATTGATACAAAGTGTTGCGTTTAGAGAGACCACATGGCGTTTGCGGTATCGTTTGCACATAAATGTAGCTATTGACATAGACATCTTACCATATAACATGTTTGCCAGGGGCTCCGGTGGCATCTTTTGTCCAAATATTACACCTTTAATTTCTCTTTTTTTTTCTGTTTCTTTTCTATCTTCTTTCTTTGAATTTTCATCATCAACATCTGTATATTCTTTCATACTAGTAACTATTCTGTCAGTTGTAATACGTTTTTCTTAAGCTCCAAACATATAATATATATTGAAAAATTGATTGAAAATATATATGATCTCAGTTAATGATTTTTATGATGCTTTAGCTAAAATATGGAGTTTTAAAAAAAAAAAATATGGAGACTAATACAATTTTTCTGTCTAGCTACTCTTAGAATACTTTAGAAAGAATCTAGGTTGCCTGAATTCAAATAGCATAATTTTTTAAAAGAATCTAGGTTGCCTGAATTCAAATAACATAATTTTATTAATGTTTATTTCTTTCTTATTTTCATTAATATTTTTTTTTTTTAAAAATGTATCTGACTTTAGTTCGTTGATAGAAAGATTTCAAATTTACACCGTGGAGACTAATCTTAAAAAACTTAAGTTTGAGAATCTTTTATTTGACGAACAGAGTCAGATTTTGCAGGATTCTCAAATCAAATAAATTATATTTCCAAATAAAAATGACAAATTTTTTGTCGCATTTTCAAAAATAAAACATTTCACCACCATGTTTCTCAACTAAGATTTTTTTTTTAAAAAATCTTGCCTTCATAGTATATCCATTTTTTTAAGGAATTGAATTTTGATTCAAAACGTTTGTGAAACGAAAAATGTGATTTAAACGAGATTTTCATAGCATTTAATTTCGAATGAACTAATTATTTGAACTTTTTTGTTCTCACCTATATGTTAATTTGTTGGAAATCGGCTTAATGATGGAAAACAAAATAATAGTATTACAATACTGCAATGTTTACCAATTAATTGTTTTGTGGTTTCCACCATTTTTATAACAAAACAAAACAAAACAAAACCATGATATTCTATGGTTTCTTTCACAAAGGAAAACAGTATGTAAATTATGTATATACATATATGTATGACTTTGTGTGTGTATATAAATGAGCTAGTTTTCCGATTTTCTGGTAGGGAGCAGATGGAATCTTTTCCATTATAAGAAGTCATGGGTGGGTGACGTCATAAATGTTCTTTTAATTTAGAAATAAAAGGGGTTTTTTTTGGGGGAAAAAAGGTGTGGATAGCAAAGGGACTTGTGTCGCATCATATCAATGTTGCTTTTTTATCGACCTTTCCACTATTCATTATCAAGAATGAGGAGGATTATATATTGTCTTAATCATAATTAATTAATTATAATATACTAATGCACCATCAATATTATTATTTTTTTATTTTCACCATCGGTGGGTGGATAATGGATTCAATCAAACAGGCTCGAATTTGCAAAAAGTTTAACTTTTAGGTAGTTCTCCCGGTGATCTAAGATTTGTCTATGGACTATTATGTGTCGTTATATATAATAATACAAATTAAACTCTTCTTCTTCTTTTTATGCGTTGTCGGCACAAATTAAACTTCTTTTGATCGCTTCAGTATGTTTATTGATTTATTCATATAATCAAAACAAAAATATTGTAGATAGCTTTTACAGAGTATTTTATGATTATAAAGCAATAAACTAACTTTCATTATATTCGAACAGATTTTACTCCCCATGACGACAAATTCAAATAATAAAAATGAAAATACATAGTGCTCTAAGAAAAGGATTTGATAGATGGGAACACAACACGTTACACGTGGAGACGAATAATCTTATCTTAATAAAACCAAGAGAATTTAACGATATCCAATCACATCGCACCACGTAAGCCAATGAGAAACCGAAACTTACGAACACGTGATCCTTGACCGACGGCGTATCAACCATCCGACGTGGACTCAACAAAAGAAAAATTGTTGACTTTTAAACTGAAGAAAAAAGTATACGGTTTGGTAAACCGGAAATCTTAAACCGGGCTTGTATAATTCATTCCCCAATGGCTTAAAAAATGATCAGTCGTAATCTAAGGAACATTCAGCACCATCTTCTACATGAAGCCCATCGATGACTGATGATGGATCGGCTTGTAAGTACTTAAGCTCACTCCTGTCATGTTGAACCCTTCCTGTGATCTCTAGACACAACCCGTTCCAGTTTTTCTTGTTGTCTCTCTTGGATGTGTTGCTGCTGCTGCTGGTTGGCTTCTTCTCGGTTGGTCCTGGATCTAAGAAGATTGGAATGAGTTTTGCCGTTGGGTTCGGTTTTATTCTGTTTACGGTTTTAGTCTCGGATGGTCCTAAAATCCTGTTCCCTGATTCTAACTCTGAGATATCATCTTCGTTTAACAGTACCTGTGTGTCAAAACCAATGAATCTTTATGGATCTAGCAATTTAAGCATTCACAAAAATGGACAAAGATCATAGAAATGGATGGTAGCATAACAATGCAGAGTTGCAGAGAGACCTGAGAAAAGGAAAATGAATCCGAAACTTCAAAGAACATTTAGATTCTAGGCTTTCTATGACTTATGTTTATGTCTAAATGTAAAGATACTTCCTAGTTGGGAACGAGCAGAAAACAGGGGAATTTTCTAGAGCTACCTTACGGCCGACTAAATCAAATGACATAACCACTTTGCTCTTCTTAGCTCGTTCAGCTTCTTCAATCTCCTCTCGCTTCTTCCTCAAAAGCTCTTTTTCCTGAGAAACAAAACCAAAAAACGAGTAGGAGGTCAATGAGCAGGGGAAAACAAACGAGTGTGTCGTTTACCAATGGAGACTACATGTATACCTCTGCAGAAAGCCAAGTACTACCCTCACTTTCATAGTAATCACTCTGGTCATCAATAACCGTTGTTCTTGCGGCTGAGTTTCTATCATACTCTACAAGCCTTTTCGCATAAGCTTCAGCTGCAACATCAGCATCAGATACAGGAGTAAACCCTTCCTCTAACCCAGCATAAGTACTTCCTTCTTTCAGCACAAGCGCTCCGCAGAAACTGCACGGTCCTTCTCCTTCTTGTTCACACACTATCTTCCCACAAGACAAGCAGTTGCTCACTAGTTTGTGTCTACGAGCTTGGCATGCACACGGTTTTCCTTGCTGAAACACTATTGATCCTTTAGCTGCCTCTGCTAGAGAAATGACTTTTCCACCTTTTTTCTTCTTGGGATTGGCTTGATGAGCCGGAGCTGTTGCTTTCACAGTTCCAGCTTGCTGATGATTAGAAGATGTTCCCTCTTTTGGTGTTTTAAACGGTTTCTTGATTCCACTAGAAGCAAGATTATCCACTTTTGGCTTAACATAAACCTGCAGTTCTGGAACAGAACTGTTTGCTACATTGCTGGATGGATCTTTGTATCCTCTTCGCTGTAGATATTCTGCAATGATACTTTTGCCTTCTTTTCCGATTATATTCTGGAGTAAAGTCATCAACATAATCAATCAGTCAAACTTTTGACGATGCACAACTCTCCTCAAGCCTCAAGCCTCAAGTAATACATTGGAGACAACTATAAGCAGCTAAGAAAATCTCCTTATGCGAAGCTACAATTCATGAACTATTCTTATCTGATTCGTATCTAAAAAGCTAAAATTAAACAACCTATATGTACAAAAGCAGTTCTTCAATGATTCAAAAGGCTTAATTCTAGGAACCCACACTATCCAATCGAAATCAATTAGTAAGCTACGACACTACCCACGATCCATTTCCCAAAATCAGAGAATCCAAAGAACACAACCATCAAACGAGATTTAGTGATTCAGTTTTTTTTTACGGGAAGATGATGAAGAGAAGAGAGGGAGAAAAGGATTACGTCGAGATACTCCTTCGCGTCAACAGGCTGAGCGAGATCGCAATAGGAGACTAAACCGGAGACGATATCACGATCGAAATTTAAACCGGTTTCTGGTCTCCGGCAGAGATCAACCAAAGCTTCCTCTAGCCACTGCCCCACCGCCGTTCCCATCTTCTTCTCCAATTTTCCGTCGATTTAGTCTCCTCGAAAATTTGATTTTTCCTCTCTATCTCTCATTTTTTTTTTAATCAAATGCACAAAAATAAAATAAAATTGAGGCCCATTGTATCGAGTTTGGGTTTCATTGGCTCGGCCCAAGTATCTGGTAAAAAAGGGTTTAAATGTCTCGATGGATTACTTTCCCAAACCGGTTCTCGTCTAACAATTTTTCTGTTGGTTTAGCTAGTGTCACTCGACATAAACTTTAATCAACGTTAGGTAAACGGTAAACGTAAACCCTACGTACCTCAGAATACGAGCTTTAAAAGTGTGGTTTGAACATTTCGCGTTTCACGTGAGGGTTGATTTTTAGTTGCTAAGATTTTCTTTTATCTATGTAACTATGTTATTGTTTCTATCATTTTTATATGTTTGATCTGCATTTGATATTGATATACGATCGGTGCTCGTAGTTTAATGTTTTGTAATTAATAATACCGCAGCCGTGTTGCTATACAGATTCAGATTCCATAATGTGCACATGTGAGCTGTAAACGATAACAATATATACAGTATATATATATATATATAATTAACATACAATCAAATAGTAACTCTAGTTACAAATAAAAACATACAATCAAATAGTTTGTGAAAAAAATACTATCAAGTAAATTTCTTGAAAGCAATTTTTCCACCGTTTAATTTATTTGATTAAAAAAATATAGTCGTGGAAGCAATTTATACAAATTTTACAAGTCTGTCATCTTTAATTTCATTAGCCAATAAGGTTGGCATTGCTTTCATGAAGCGGCCAACGAAAGAAAACTTTCTTTATTTTTTGACAACAATGCATTATATGCATGAAAAATGAGTTATCACTTATCAATTATCATTACCATATAAGCTCAGATAATAATACTGATGCAAAGCTATACTTCAATTTCCTTGAAGATGTCGAGGAATAAACGATACCAAGACAATGTGAATTGTGAACAAATCAAATAAAAATTGACTTACAGACCTCGAGCTCATGGTAAATGCAAAGTGTCAAACCATCTGGGATCATGTGACGTCGAAGAACTATATACAACACGTGTCAACACGATCATACCATCATGGTCCTATACAAATAAAATAGAACGACCAATAATTTGCAATTTCGCTTCAAAAAACAAATGCATGAATCAAAATATGCAAAGTAATAGCAATGTACACAGCCCATGCATATGTACATATCCAAATTAAGTTCATACTGAAGGATCGAGATCTTGATCTTATTGTAATCTTCAAATTTTCAAGTCGACAACGGTCACGATGGAAGAAGTCGTAAGAATAGAATCGTCCAAGTAATCAGATAACGACACGTTACAACTGAAGTGGGGATCACTTGGGAGCTATACGATAAAATATTGCTTTTTCAAGTGGGACCTATAAACATACCCAACAAAAGAAAGCAAACCTTGGCTTGCTTGCTTGCTTGATTGATGATAATTCGTTGCCAATGTCTTGTCCGAGATCGTCGCTTTCTATATCCGGAGAGAGTTTTACGTGGTTGCATCCCGGCCGTACACGCTATATGCTTCGACACCGATGTGTTACGTGACAAATTGTTTATTTATATTCGACGTGGCAATTGAGTTTACCCACAACTATATTGAAATTCATTTGAAACGACTGGATTTTAATAAAATTGGATTTTAAAAGTTATTGAATTTTGAGAATAACACTGAATTTTAATGAAGGATTTAAAATCTTCACTACATATAACACCAAACTTTAAAATATCTTACGTATGATTTATAAAAAACCAATAACATCATGGATTTGAAAACATAATGTAAAATTATTAGTTAAATAATAATGGATTGGAGCAGGAATTCAATTTTTTTAAAGCAATGATTGGATACACTTCTTTATTGAAAATTCAAAATTTGTTGTAAGTTTCAATATTAGTTGTCGCAATTCATTACTAATATGACTTGTGGCATGATCATTTTCCAAGCAAGATCATTTTTCAAGCAAGATCATTCTTCAAGCAAGACTTTATATATTTTTCTCTAACTGAAAAGCTGGACTAAATATCCATACACGACTATGTATCAGATAAGTTTTATTAGTTATTATTAAAATTGAATTATATATATACTCACTAATAAAAATTGCCTTGTGATTAGTGGTTTCCTTTGTGAGTTGAGGTTCAAATCCTCCAGCTTATAGTTAGTTATTGTGGATATAGTATAGTAAATATATTTACATAAGATATTCAGATTGGTAGATTTCAATTTGGGACTCCCCAGTGCAAGTGCATGTATATATATAGCATGTATGCAGTCGCATGCTGAAAATTACATTTGTACAACAAGCAGTGTGAAGACTAATTAAAAATCACGAAACGAAGTAATTAACCAAAAATACTAAAAAAATAAAAGCATATTAGTATGAACTCGGCGAAATAATTGAAACCCTGTTTATCCGACCCATAAAGCGACCCAATAAATAGAATCGTGATGTGAGTGCTGTCTTTGTTTTGTTCCACAAAATTGAAATTTCAACTTTATACGCATTTATATGAATACGGCAACGAAAATAACCATGATGTTTTGATTGGTTTAATCCACTATGAGAATTGATACAAATCATACCGACATGCGACAGTGATTAGACATTAACGCACCAAAGAAAACATTATATAATTTTTTGGTGTGACCATACTTCCTAAACACATATACAACGAGGTCGAGATGAGAAATTGAAAATGATGATGCTTTGTAAAACACTGCAAAAGTAAAATGAGTGGTCCGCTCAGATCGAGTTCAGTTTGGGTTATGGCATCGTGTGTATTCGGACTCTAATATTATGTTTTATGTGCTTGCAACTTAAGGCTAATTGACAATGAATAAATTTACACCTATCATATATCACTCAAAAGTCTCATTTTATTTCTTATGTAGAATATCTCACATCTATGATATTTAAATCTCAGTCATCAATATTATTCATCACCAACTCTGATTATTTCTTTAGCGAGCTTCAAATTATAATTCATTGAGTATTAATTTTAGCGGTATTCAAATTAGTTTATTTCTATAGGGCATAGGGAGTCAACCGTCACGGACATCCACTCTAAAAGGACATATTTTTTGCGGCATCTATTTTAAAGGAACATATTTTTTGTAAAAAAAATTATTAAGGATCAAGCTTTAGTTTCTCTAGAATCCAGTTTGAATAGTTCCAAAAGTATAAACAAACTTTTGAGTTTTTGTTTGATATATAAAAAAAACTAAGATCGGCCAGCAATGATAGTTTGAAGAGATCAGCGAATTTAGAGGTTTCTTTAAAAAATATTACAAATTCAGACATAGATGCTGATGATCTGTTTATGGAACTGAAAATTATTCGAGTATCAATACCAGATGATATTCATAAACCTATTCAAGTGCTTGATTTTTTTAAAAAAATGGAGGATTGTTGTCAAAACACAGAAATTGTTTATTGCATATTGTTGACCATTTCGGTATCGGTTGCCACTGCTAACAGAATTTTCTCAAAGTTGAAGCTAATAAATAATTATTTGCGCTCTACTATGTCACAAAAGCAATTGAATGAGTTAGCTTTGTTATCAATTGAAACAGTTATGGTTGAAAAACTAGACTACGTTTAATAAACGATTTTGCACGAAGAAATGCAAGAAGATCTATATTTTATCAATAAACAATATATTTTATTGGATCTTTTTCTTTTCTTACAAACTATTTATGGAATTTGATTGTTTTATAAAGTTTTGTTTCATTTTTTTATTATCTTAATTTTGAAAAAAATATATAAAGGTATATTTATAAAAATTGGACGCAGACATCTAAATTGATCGGTCCGGTACTGAGTTTTTGTTTTCGGAGAGGTCTCGTACCTCTGTCGGTTTTGTCCAAGTCTATGTTTCAGATCGGGATGAATAAAACTTTTCAGATGACCAAAAAAAAAAAAACTGTCTTCTAGTCCACTTGGTCTTTTTTCCTTTCACGAGACACGCTTTTTATTATTTTTATTTACGAACCAATTTTGTTGTTGTTGTTGTCAATGAACCCATTTTATGGTTCCATGGATAGACGTAAGTGAAAAAATGTAAACATAACGCGTCAATGCCAATGAATGGAGTAAGTCAATCAATATTCGAAACTAAATGGATTGAATAGTTCAATAAGTTAACTTTTTAACATATAAGGCCAAAAAGAAATTTTCATTTAGCAAGTGGACTAGGAGAAACAGCTCACTAGATTCCGGAAGAAAGTGTTTGTCAAGTCTCCAATTTCAATTTAAAGTGTACAATTGATAGGTTTTACCTAGTATAACCCGGGATTTAAAATCTCTTAGTTATAGTTAACTAAAATCTTTATATGTATTGAGTATTAACTAGCCTTTAGGCGTCTAAGTAGATCAAGGTAAAATATCTTAAGTATCTCGCGTTTAAGATTTTGACTTAATTTGAGAGTGAGCAAGTTGGATTGGACAAATACATGTATACATCTAAAGTTTCCTTAATTAAAACTAAAACATGTTTTTTTAATTGATTTTGACAACATGGACTTTTTTATACGTACATACATACATGTCGATCGTTTTAAGAAGATATTGAACTCTATTTGACTATAGGTTCTAATAACGTCTTCACCGTTTTGTATGTGTATTCTCACACCATTAAATGATGATTGGACTAATTATATAGTATAGGTATTGATTTTTGTCGCGACCTCATCTCAAATATAGCAAATTTGTCAAACTCTAAGTCTCTACCCATATTACCGCATAAGCTTTTACCAAGGAACGTTAGCTTATGTTCCGTGACAATTACATAAGCTGGATTGCACCGGGACCTATAGTTATATATACTTCCATGTCATTCTATCATGCACATCATTTAATGATAAGTCCAATTACTCTGACTTGATTATTATTTACTGCAGGTTTTTATTATTTCCTGCAAAAATTGACGCGTGTCTCCCATTCCCAATTAACCGCTTGGGGGTTAAAATATTGAGCCTAGGTTTAGCCTACGAATTATTTAATTGGATATCGTATAAATTAAGAGATATCCAAAGAACGTCGAGATCCAACATAGTCGTTGACTTATACTCAGTCTCGTAACTAAATATATTTTAAAAAACTGTAGGAAACATCGGAGAACTTTCAATTTTGATCGTTGGAAACAAACGAAACCCTAGCTAGCTAGGCCTTAAAGATATACAATTTCATAAAATTTGTAACAATCATCTATTTATGAAATGGGGGAAATATTTGAAGTCAATATCCCAATCGAACATTATTTTTAATTCCTATATCAATTTTTATAAATTATAAAGGTACTAAATCACGTTTCCAACTTTTAATATAATTAATAATGATATTAAGCCATTTAAACGGATTTTAAAGTCTATGTATTATGTTTTCTCGCCATCATACCTTTTTTTCTTAGCCGCATAAACATATAGCTCGTCACATATGTAATCTTGTGGTCCTGCAATTGTATTGCATTATCAATTTTGTAATCCATGTCTTAAATATCGATCTCGATCATCCTATTTAGCTTTGCCTTCATTAAATTTAAGATCACTGAGTATCCTAGAGTCTTTAGTATTTAGATTTTATAAAAAAAAAACTAAATTTAACCTTTTTTTCATTCCGCATAAATCAGTGGTTAAAAAATAAATAAACAAAAACAATGACAAAACGATCAAAAGTATATAAAAATGAGGTGAAGTGAGTTATGGTTTGATATATTCTATTTATCTTTTTCAGTATTATATTTCTTAAACTTTTGTTTATTCATTTTATAAATTTTTTTTTGAGCATTTTTAACTGTTTTGTTTTGGAGTATTTGAATTTTTTGTGAGGCGAAAAATGAAATTTTTGGACACAAAATGGATGAAATGAAGCAAGTAGCAGAAAATATAGAATTTGGAGGAGCTCCTGATGGATAACAAGTCATTTTGGGAACACAGCTCACATGATAGTTGCATGGGGTATATGCAGGGCCGAGCATAGACGAGGTAGGCGACGGACTAGAGGCCGTATATGTTGATATAAATGGTTTCAGTTTTATGTAAATACTAATTCTGTATAGTTTTGGATTTGGTATGCGTCTGTATAGATTTTGGTCTATAGTTTGTGTTAAGGCTCTGTTTTAGGCCTTGGTCAATTGTATATAACAATTGTATATAAACCCTCAATTGTATCTTTTTGATTGATTAATGAGAATGAGAGTTTGTTTACTAATATGGTATAAAAAATAATCCATAGTAACAAAGTTCCGCGATTTGAATTCTAACCGGATTCTAATAGTATATCTCAACTGATGTCAACCTAATGACATTTTCTCCATTTTGAAGCATGGCTCCCAAAGTAATATACATTGTCGAAAGGATTGTAAGTTTTTTTAAAAAAACACAAAAACAAAATGGCCAACATTAGAAACCATTGTTGATAGTCAATTATCATTTCTACCATATAAGAATAAAAGTTAACTTCTTATATCTATATGGAAATATTAGAATTAACAATATATATTACTATGTGGGAGTAAGAAAATATTTGGCTAAAGAAGATTTTATTATAAAAATGTAAATTTAAAATTTACCAAAATATTAAAAAATATTGCATGAAGGCTCTCCAATAAAAATTGTGAATACGTCGACAATAATTTCTTAAAATTAAACTTAAGTGTCCACACAATATTTTTTTTTAACATTTAAGTTTTCTAAAATATTGCATGAACTCTTCTATCTTAGTTTTTTATAACGAAATTTTGAGACAATGGTCCAAAATTCAAACTGTTCAATATTCATTTTGGTTTGATTGTTGACACCCTACAACAATGTCTTAAAAATATTACCTAGATAGCTCGGTATACCATTGAAACCACAGTAGAGTTTTTCTACAAAAAGTATTCTAAAGATTGATTAGTGCAAAAAAATGAAAAATCGAATAGGAACAGCTATTAGGGAAAACTCAGTGGCCGACTAAGATTTTGCGTGAAGTATATAGGAAATATAACATATATTGGTCGAAAAAAATGTAATGTTATTTTGATTGATGAAAATGATGTCTACACCAACAAAAAAATGGGTTACATTATCACCACACTGAAAAAACTAGAAAGGAGAAAAGAGTTACTTTTGTATATATTTTTTTCTATCTCAATTATTCTAAACACAAAAATACAATAGCAGATAAACTAGCATGAAGTGCTCTTGTCATCTTTTTGATATTTTGTATATAAATTCTGTGTCACTAACTGGATTTTCAAACTATTTAAAGCCTCTTATCTGTAGAGAAAGGAATACAAAAAATCAAACAAATTGATTCTAACTAAAAAAATCTCCAAAAAAATGATTAATACAGGAAAAATACCAGCAAAATATATTTTAATAAAAGTAATTCTTGGTTCTCTTGTTTCAAAACAATGGTCAAACGGGAGCGTGGGATATTAATTTAGTCGATAATATCAGATAAAACGTAAAATCATAATCTTAATCTCAAACACCACACAAAAACATTTTTTTTTTCTGTTGAGTTCTAGTCAGTTTGATAAAATATACCAGCAACGTAAATATAGTATCTAGTACTATAAACAACGTAAATAATATAGCTCTTTAATTTAAAATATAAAAATCAGAATATTGATAGGTGTCTATATGCAAGTTTAGTCAAAGTAAACTTTTAATACCATCATCTTCGGGATATGGGTTGCGTATACAAAAAAGACGTGGCGTATGGGTTTCAAGTTTAACCTATTTTGTTCAATGAAGTTTCTACGGCCCGCTGATTTTATTTCTATTTTATTTCGGTTTCTAATTCTCTATTTTATATTTAGAATTTAGATAAGTACTATCATATTATTTCCTATCCAAATTAGAAGCGCAATACACAACAACGACGATGCCTCGCAACATTCCTTTCGTTTCTTGTAAATTTTTTGAGTTCCTCGAAGTGATTTTTAATCCAGCGGTACAAAAACAATCCGTATTATATAAATTATCAAAAAAATCTACCGATCCAAATATGACCAAACAAGTCCAACATCACAAAAATATCTAAAAAAATGTGTGACCATTTTCTTTATTGAGAATGTGGAGATATGTGTGTTACAATTACAATTTATATACCGTTCAATTCAATACCTACAAAAGCTCACACTCTGGCCCCAATCAACATTTTTACATGTTAGACTAAATTCTCATCAATATAAGGTTTAGCATATATATATATATATATTTAATTATAAGGTTTGGTACTTATGTGGTGCTTTTGGTGTCCATTTTTGATTAATACTTAAGGGTGGGTGGTTTGGTTTTTATTTGGTTTGCTGCGATATATAGTTTTTTGTTTGGTTCATGAGAATCGGACGGAATTGAAACCAAAATATTCATTTCGATTTTAGTCCAGTATGTTTCTAGCAAATCAACACTGACCAAACAACGATTTTTTATTTATTTAGTTGTTTACTTGTTTGTAGTTAAACATTTTCTATGATTTGAGATCATAATATATAGAAATTTCATATGATATTATATACCAATTTGGCGACTGCATAACTCATACACTAGCTAGATCTAGAGAGTCAAATTAGTTTAAATTTCTGTTCATGGTACTCAATTACTAGAGAAACAAAAACAGTACATCATTTTGGGTAGAAATGACATTATTTACTCATGCCTTATATGTATGCATGCATGTGGGAAATCAAAATGTACAATTTCACAGTAAAAGTGTCCTTCTAAAAATTTTCATTTAGAAGTTTTTACATCAATATAAAGTTATAAACTATATACATTTCACTCTCATGTGGAAGTGTGGAACCATAAATGGGATCAAAGGCTTTGAAATCTAAACTCAATCAGATAGAACAGATGTTCAAATGAAAGGACAAGTTAAGGGTTATTTTAGCGATAAACCTGAAGGGACTAATTAGAGAAAAATTGAGGGCTAATCAGAGAGAGAAAGCATTGAGTAATGGTAGAAGAGAGAGAGAGAGAAAGAGAAGGGCTGACTTTGGAGAGCAAGAGAGTAAATGCATTTTGCTGTCCATGTTGACTCTTTGAAAGCAAAACCCCACTCTTCATTATTACTTTTAACTGTATTATTATTGCTACTAATTTACTTACTCATTAGCTTTGCTCTCTCTCTCTCTCTTTCTCTCTTTCTCTCTCTATAAATATAGGCAAGCTAACTCTCTACATCCTCAGACAAAACCAACTACCACTTGTACCCCTTTGTCTTAAGTACTCTTAGCCCTACAATTTCCTAAGCTTCCAAGCAAAAAACCTTCGAAGGATTAACGTTTTCTTCCTCTATATATCTATCATCATCAAGACCCCTCTCACTGCTCATACCACAAACTATTCCGTTCTTCCCCTAAGCACAGAGAAATATATAGGAGATTGTGATGGGAAGACCACCGTGCTGTGACAAGATTGGAGTGAAGAAAGGGCCATGGACACCAGAGGAAGATATCATCTTGGTTTCTTACATTCAAGAACATGGTCCTGGAAACTGGAGATCTGTGCCTACTCACACAGGTCTCTTCTTCTAACTTAATATTATATTTTGTTTTATTTTTGTTGATAAAAAGTAATATTTTAGTTTCGATTTTGTAATCCCTACTCTTAAGAAGTACTTTAATGTTTTTTGTTTTTTCTTGGGTTTGTGATTCTTTTGTTCTGGCTTCAATTTGGTTGGTATGATCATTAAAGAAAAAGAAAACTGTAATAAATGTCCGATTTTTCTCACACCGGCTTTTTTGTCCATACATATCAAATTAATTACCCTTTTAATTTAATGAAAGTTTTGATTTTTGTGGTGATTTAGGTTTGAGGAGATGTAGCAAAAGCTGTAGATTGAGGTGGACTAATTATCTTCGACCTGGGATTAAGCGTGGAAATTTCACCCAACACGAAGAGAAGATGATTCTCCATCTTCAAGCCCTTTTGGGCAACAGGTAACATACATATTCACATGCACATGATCTATAAAAGTATGAAGATAAGGTTTATGAACTTTAAATAACTTGGGGACCAAATAAATATGAAGGTGGGCAGCTATTGCATCATACCTTCCAGAAAGGACAGACAATGATATAAAGAACTATTGGAACACACATTTGAAGAAAAAGCTCAAGAAGATGAATGATTCTTGTGAAAGTACTATCAATAATGGATTTGATAATAAAGACTTATCTTCATCAGACAAAAAAACTACTTCACATCAAAGCGGCAGCTCCAACAAAGGTCAATGGGAAAGAAGGCTTCAGACAGATATCAACATGGCTAAACAAGCTCTTAGTGATGCCTTGTCTCTTGACAAACCACAAAACCCTACTAGTTTCTCTATAACCGATCTTGGTTATGGACCTTATGGTCCATCATCTTCTTCATCCTCAACAACCACCACACCCACAAGCAACACTAATCCACACCCATCTGGTGTCTATGCCTCAAGCGCTGAGAACATCGCTCGGTTGCTTCAAAACTTCATGAAAGACACACCAAAGACCGAAGTGCCCTCACCGGTTGCAGCTACCGAGATGGTTATCACCACGGCGGCTTCTAGCCCTAGCATAACAGAAGGAGGCGGAGAAGGGTTTGATCAGTCTTTATTCAGCTTCAACTCCTTGGATGAAGCTGAAGACAAGCCTAAGTTAATAGACCATGACATTGATGGTCTACTTACACAGGGTTCTCTTTCTTTGTTTGAGAAATGGCTCTTTGACGAGCAAAGCAACGACATGATCATTAATAACAACATGTCATTAGAGAGCCAAGAAGTGTTATTCTAGAAAGAAAAACTTTGACGATTTACTTGAGGAATGAGGAGGCTTATAGCTAGCTATAAACAAAATGTATAATTAAGTACTCTTTAGTTTTGTTGTAACTTGTGATCCTCAATTATCTTTCGTATATTGCAGTAATTAGGGATTTTGGAGTCTTAAGTAACTTTAACACGATTTTCTCTTTTTTTTTTTTTTCTAGTGTGGAAAAGTTATCTTCTTCTTGTTTTTTCTCTATCTTCTATCATGTAGTAGAAACTCAAAAGTGTACATCATCTTTATTAATGTAACATGTGGTTCTATATCGTGGCTCATTTAGTTACAAATTCATTTCACTTTATTAGAGTTGATATGGACCATAAGGTTAGGTTTCAGATTTTATGTTTCCATAAATTGCAATCAGTAGGTAGCACATACACATTTATCCTGATTAATATAGATGCATGCATGGCGCCTATAACTATAAGCCTATTGATCTTATAAAATTTTGTAATCATTTTAGAGAATACTCATAAATTAACCTTATTATACAAAATATTTAGGTAAATTGTTATAATCATTATAGAGAATACTCTCAAAATAACCTCTTACTATACAAAATATTGGAAAATTCTTGGGTTCACCCCTAGGGGTGAATTCATTCATTCACCCTTTTTCATCTAAGGCAATAAAAATCTACCATGTAATATTATCTTTAAATAAAAATTAAAAATTATAAGTAAAACATTAAATACTCAATCAAATATTTTGTTAAAAAAATATATATAAGAAATAAATAATGTATATAGAGATTAGAATTTAGGATTTAAATTTTTTTTTAAGGTTTATAAATTATGATTTATAGTATAAAGATTAGAATTTAGAATTTAAAATTTAGAATTTAGGGATTAGGGTTTAAAATTCCGAATATAAAATAAATAATTATATAAATATATATATATATATATATTAAAAATATATAAATAAAATTTAATATTATGCTTGGGTTCACTATTTCCAATTTAGGTTTTAGTTTTTCTTTATTTAAAATTCCAAAAATAAAACAAATAATTATGTAAAAATATTTTTTATAAAAAATAATTGTGCATAAACTTCAATATTATGCTTGGGTTCACTATTTCTAAATTAGGGTTTAGTTTTTTCTATTAAAAAATAAATTAATATTATGTTTGGGTTCATTATTTCCAATTTAGGGTTTAGTTTTTTTTCATTTAAATTTTGAAAATAAAACAAATAATTATGTAAAAATATAATTTTATTAAAAATAATTCAACATAAACTTTAATGTTATATCTGAGTTCATTATTTCCAAATTAGGTTTTAGTTTTTTCTCATTTAAAAAAAATATTTAAAATATGCTATTTTGATAAGTTATTTTAATTGATTTTATCATATGGCAGATTTATATTGGCTAAAATAAGAGGGGGTGAATGAATTCACCCTTAAGGTGAACCCAAGAATTGTTAGGTAAATGATATAGTACTTACCACACAAAAGATAAGCGGTATCCTAATATAAAATCTATCAAGTAACTTGAAACCAAAGGAGAAATGATGATTGTGGACAAATAAAACGATAATAAATAAATACGTTTCAAGAAAAATAAGAGCCTTATATCTGCTGTTAAGAAAATAAAAATTAAATTCAAGAGAAACTTTGCATCACATATATACACGTATACACATTAACTCACGCACATTATTTTGGCAAAAACAAAAGAATTTCACGCACAGATCATTTTCATATATAGTTACATATCTGATATGCTTATATAGAGGCAAAATCTAGTGGTCCTGTCCATTGGAAATGTGAAACTAATATATGTGATAAAAAAAAAGAGGAGCAAAAAAGAAAGTAGTGAATTAAATGCAGAAGAAAAATGTGAGTGTTTGACTTGTGCCTGTGAAGCACAACACAACGAGCATGAGCCAAGTCAAGATGCCTTACCTTTGCCACCTCATAAATTTTAATTTCACACTGTCTCACACCCAACTCGTTGACTTTTTTATTTAACCAAAAAGTTTCAGAGATTCATAATGTTTTTTTTTTTTTGGGTAAAAGATTCATAATGCTTTTCCGGCGGATACCATTAGATGTTAAATTAGTTCCATTTCCATCGCCGATGCTCGAATTCAAAAACTTCCCTTTTTTTTGGGGTGGCAAAATTACATCGGGTTAAATTATTAGACGTTTTCGACTTTCTTTTGTTTATCTAATATAATTTTTTCCTCGCATGACACTACCATAAACTATATACATTTTTTTTTATGTATGATTCATTATTTTTTCGCCACGCTCATAATTTCGAGCTCTTCGTACCTAAACGTGAAGCTTCAGCTGAATGCATATAACAACAATGATGAGTCTTGTAACGATCAAAATCATTAAAATCCTAGTCAAATCGACAATACTGTATTCGAACCACTTTGGAGCAATCGTTGCAAATCCAAGTTGAGTTCCATGGTGGTCTACAAATTGACTAGTTAGTTATATAAGATGGACTAATCATTGGAGTCCAAATGTGTGGAGCTTATAATATTCATGGATCATTCATTTCATCCCAATCCCGTCTTCTACTAATTAATTGCCAATAGATTCTAAGGATGATGCAGCATCTTAATATTTTAGGCCGCAAACAAACAACAACTTTTACTTATTTACTTTATGTTATTGGGTTTTTCTTAATTATGTCGGTTTCATTATAAGTTAATTGTGATTTTTCATTTTTTTTACGAAGACTAATCCTACACAAAGGACACTTTCATTCCTTGTAAAAGACAGTTTTGAAGTTATAAAATAAGAGTAATTTTCTTTTCCCTTGTATTGATTTGATTAAGTTCATCAATTTAGAAAGCCTTGCATCAATTTGATTTAATTCATTGATTCAAGAAGCTAGCACTCTAGAGATTATTTTGATTTCTAAATTGAACTGAAGTTTTAAAAACTTTACGCTGCGCCAGGTTGGTATCAGAGCAAAACTCATTTGTTCATAATGCCGAGAGGTCGTCGCGATCCCCCTCCGACGGAAGCCGAGCTCATGCATCAAACTCTTGCGGCTCTTCAAGAGCTGATGCAGCAGTTAACGATAGCGATTCAGGCGATGGCTGTGCAACCGGTGCAACCTTCTCCATGAATCGTTGAGGATGACGATGGTGAACTTGAAGAAGATGACAATCCGTTCGCTGGATAGAGACAACATAACGTTGTTGATCCTGCAGATGATTGGCCTTGAGAACAAGGGTTTAAGTTTGATATTCCTGAGTTTCACAGTTGAAACACGGCGGAGGAACTCTTTGATTGGATCGTCACGGTCGAAGAAGTTTTTGAGTTCAAACGGATGCCTTTAAATGAATGTGTCCATGTGATTGCGATGCGGTTTCGTAACAGGGCTGCAGCGTGGTGGACACAATTGAAAACTTCACGAGCAAGATTGGGCAAAGCAAAGATTTTATCTTGGGATAAACTGAAGAAAAACTTATGAAAAACCTTTCTGCTGTATAACTACGATCATCTTATGTTTCAGAAATTACAAAATCTGAAACAAGAAACTCGTTATGTGGAGGAATACTCGACATAATTTTTTTCTGTTATTGAATCGTATTGATCTTCAAGATAGAGAACAGCAACTAGTAGCTCCTTTTATGGGTGGTTTGAGGCAGCAAATTCAATTCACATTGAATTTGTTCAATCCTTTGTCTGTTGCGGAAGCTCACCAGCAAGCTTTAACGGTTGAAGCTCAAACTAAAGTGAACTTCTCGGCGTGGAGTTCTGTTCGTCCTCCTCGCACTACTCCGACTTCTGTTTTCCCTCCACCAGAAACAGTTGCTCCAGTCACAGCTATCCTATGGAACGAAACAGTGCTGGTACCTGAAAACAACCAGCATTCAAATGGACCAGGAAATTTGAGGTGTTTTAATCGTGGAGAAACCGGCCACAAACAGTCTGTTTGCCTAACCCGAAATCAACGTGGTATCTTTTTAGATGCTTTGGGCCGTGATGTGGAGATCGATGTTGAAGACACTATTCATGAGGAGCAATGTGAACTAGAAGCGGATACAGGTCACTTATTGATGCTGCGGCGATCTTGTTTGGCGTCTCGCGGAGAACCAGAGTTTTCTCAACGAAATACCCTATTTCAATCACGTTGTAAGATCAACAGACGAGTATGCAAATTCATTATTGATTCAGGCAGCTGTGAGAATGTGGTTGCAGAGGAAGCTGTTAAAAAATTGGCTCTTAAAGACGAAAAGCACCTTACTCCTTACAAGTTTGTGTGGTTAAATCAAGGCAATGAAGTGTGTGTGACTCGTCGCGCTTTGGTGAATTTTTCCATTGGAGACGCTTACAAGGATAAAGTCTACTGTGATTTCGTTCCCATGGATGCGTGTCACTTGTTACTTGGATGCTCTTGGGAGTTTGATCGAAAGGTTCAACATGATGGTTTTCTCAATACTTACAGTTTTTCCTTTCAAAATCGCAACTTCACTTTGAAGCCTACTCTTCCGTCGATCACACCAGCAACGAGAGCTCCTATCGTATTGTTACGACATGCGTTATTTGAAGAAGAAATGTGTGAGGAAGGTTTTGTGTTTATGTTGCTTACAAAACCAACTCTTACGGTCGCAATCCAACAGATTCAGCCAACCTTTCGGGAGATTATTCAAGAGTTCTCCGATATCTTTCCTGATGATCTTCCACACGGTTTACCCCCTCTGCATGATATTCAACATATGATTGACTTGGTGCCAGATGCTTTATTTCCCCATCGACCTCATTATCGAATGAGTCCAAGTGAGCATGAAGAATTGCGACATCAAGTTGAAGAACTGCTTTCTAAATGGTTTGTGCGCGAAATTTTGAGTCCATGCGTGGTGCCTGCTTTACTTATTTCTAAGAAAGATAGATCATGGCGTTTGTGTGTTGACAGTCGTACATTAACAAGATAACAATGTGTTATCGATTTCTCATTCCAAGACTAGATGATTTACTTGATAAAATCGGTGCTGCCACTTTGTTTTCTAAACTGGATTTGAAGAGTGGCTATCTTCAGATTCGTATACGACCTAGAGATGAATGGAAAACTGCTTTCAAGACCTGGGAAGGACTTTTTGAATTGTTGGTCATGCCTTTTAGTTTATCAAACGCCTCTAGTACCTTTATGCGTGTGATGAATCAAGCTTTGAGACAATTCATTGGTAAATCTGTGGTCGTTTATTTGGATGACATCTTGATCTTTAGTTTGTCGTTTATTCATTTGCATGAAGTCCTGAACGTACTTCGGCGTGACAAGCTCTTTACAACAGTGAAAAAATGCGAGTTTGGGTCTCCTGAAGTTCAGATTCTTGGCTACATAGTTTCTGCTAGAGGCTTAGCTGTTGATCCTAACAAGGTCTCGGCCATTATCTCTTGGCCTCTTCCAAAGACGCTTACGGATACTCGCAGTTTTTACAATTTGGCATCTTTTTATCGCTGTTTTGTTCCACAATTCAGCAGTCTTATGACTCCTATAACAGATTACATGCGAGACATTTGTCCGGACTCCAGCAGCGTCTAAGGCATTCGACTTGAAAAAAAAATAATTTCTGCACCTATTCTAGCTCTCTCCAACTTCAATTTGGTATTTGAATTACATTGTGATGCTTCAAAACTGGGAATTAGAGTCATGCTTAGTCAACAACATCGGCCTATTGCATTTTACAGTGAAAAACTGGCGGGTGCTAACTTCGTTATAGCATTTATGATCTTGAGTTTTACGCAATCATCCAGGCAGTTTAACATTGGTGTCACTACTTATTTTACAAGGAATTCATATTGTGCACGGATCATGATGCACTTAAGCATATTGGAAATCAAGATAAAGTTTCCGCTAGACACGCCTCGTGGATTGTTTATCTCCAACAATTCACTTTTGTCATTAAGCATACATCAGGTGTTAGTAATCGCATGGCTGATGCGTTAAGTCGTCGACATTCATTGATTGTTGTTTTACATGTCTCAGTTCCTGGATTCAGTTCTTTTGCAGACCTTGATGCTTCAGATCCCTTCTTTGGCCCTGTTTGGTCAGCTACCGAGACCGGTTCTTCGATGCCGTATGTGTGCCATGATGGCTTTTTGTTTTGTGATACTAGGTTGTGCATCCCTGATTGCAGCCTGCGGTTAAAACTCGTTTCCGAACTACATAAAGAAGGACATTTTGAACGGGATAGAACATTGCATCTGGTTTCTACTTTGTATTTTTGGCCGTCCCTCCGGAGATATATCAAGCGTTTTGTGGAACATTGGGTCGTTTGTCAAACCTCAAAAGGTCAAGCATCTAACACAGGCTTATATCTTCCTCTCCCTGTTCCTACTCAGCCTTGGACAAATATAAATATGGATTTTTTTTAATGGGGCTTCCGAGTACTCAAAAGAGTTTTGACTCTATCTTTGTTGTCGTCGATCGCTTCTCTAAAATGGTGCATTTCATTCCTTGTAAACGTACTACTGGTGCAGTACAAGTCACAAGCCTCTTTTTATGTGAGATTTACAGGTTACATGAACTTCCTTATTCTATTGTATCATATTGAGATTCTCGTTTTTAGGACACTTTTGGCGTTCTTTGTAGAAGCTCCTTAATACTAGTCTTGACATGAGTTCAGCTTATCATCCTCAAACGGATGGTCAGACGGAGGTTACAAATTGATCATTGGGTAATCTTTTACGTTGTGTAGTCGGTGATTCTATCAAGAGTTGGGATGCTAAACTTCTACAAGCAGAATTTGCACACAATCATATAGTGAATCGCAGTTCGGGATTTAGTCCATTTCAAGTAATCTACGGTGTTGTTCCTCGTGAGCCGGTCGATTTATCCACCCTTCCTGATCGTACACACTTTCATGGTGATGCTACAACATTTATGGTGGATGTCGTGAAGACTCATGAACTAATACACAAAAATCTCGTCGAAGCGGCCTCTAAATACAAGTCGTCAAGTCGTCGGTCGACATTCACCGCAGACGTCTTGTGTTTGAAGCTGGTGATCTTGTTTGGGCAGTTCTAACTTGGGATCGCATGCCCGCCCATGCTTGCAACAAATTGAAGGCCAAGAAAATTGGACCACTTAAAGTGTTGGAACGTATTAACGATAATGTATACCATCTACGTCTTCCTCCTGTGACATTCGTACTTCAGATGTTTTTAATGTGAGATACTTATCTCGTTATCTTCCCGCAGACAATCTTGCCGATTCGAGGACGAATCTTTCTCATCCCAGGAGTTCTGATGCAGCATCTTAATGTCTTGGACCGCAAGCAAACAACAATTTTTACTTATTTATGTTATTGGGCTTTCTTAATTATGTGGGTTTCATTATAAGTCGGTTGTGATTTTTCCTTTTCTTTACGAAAACTAGTTCATTCATTCTTTTTAAAAGACAGTTTTGAAGTTATAAAATAAGAGTATTTCTCTTTTCCCTAGTATTGATTTGATTAAGTTCATCAATTCATGAAGCATTGCATCAATTTGATTAAATTCATTGATTCAAGAAGTCAGTTCTCTAGAGATTATTTTGATTTCTAGATTGAACTGAAGTTTTAAAAACTTTACGCTGCGCCAAAGGACGAGCAACTGTGGGCTAGGGATAACTTAAGGCTTTGAGGTTCGGACAAGAAACCTAAAATTGAGACATGAGCCAAGCTCAAGAAATAGCTTTTACTTATGATCAGATTGTGTTCATGCCCATTACTGTTTAAGGTATGTAACTTACTGTTATTAAAATTTCTGTGGTATGTTTCTTTTTTTCAAATTTGAAAACATCCCTATGTTTTTAGCCCATTACAAGAATTTATTTCTTCATTTCAGCCTATTTTTTTCATCTAAGTTGTGCAAAAGATAAAACTCCAATACATACTATATTTGAATATAAGTTCATTGTTGCAATAATTATGTGAACGTTGAAAAATTCGTCGATGAAGTTTTGAAAGTTATCAATTTCGAGTTGCTCACACCATGCAAACTGATTTTTAAAAAGAGTAATGCTTTAAGTATGTAAGGTTCAAAAATACAAAGAGATGGATACTGAATTTTGTTTATTTAACAAGATCCACTTAATATCGGCCGCTCGGCCAGCTAGGAACCTACCAATTCACTAGCTCAAGAACACAAGAGGACATAGCATCGATCTCTCAAAATCAAGAAGATAATCGAGTTAAACGAAGAAGAGTCGTTACTCTGTCACAGCTCTGTTACAACAAACTTTAATAACAAACTTCAAATACTCGGTTCCTTTTTACATCGTCAATTTCCTTGAAGCTATACCGAACCAAACCGGTTCTCAATCTGAAAATTGTATTTGTGAACCGAGAATCAACAAGTGCCATTTTGTCATAAGCACCATAACAACGTACTTTGACGAAAGGTCGAAAGCACACATGTAAAACGTACAATTAGAGGAACAATCAACAACCACTTATGGTCCTTGCAAAATCAAATAACAGAACCTCCTCATAGCTCAGTAAAATTAGTAAAAACAAAAAAGTTACCTTGATCACCCAAGATTAAGAAGAAGAAAAAAACTTAAATAACACTGAAAGAAATATAAACAAAAACTTTGGATTATAAAACTTAGAAGCTGAGAAATTCTAAGAAAATTTTGGGAACTAGAAGCAAAATTGGAGGACTATCAACTATAAAACTGGTAACACAACATTCATCATTGTCTGCAAATAAATTAAGCATTCTTCGACAATATTCTGCAAACATAGGTACGTATACATACAGAAAATCAATACCACACATTATTAATTATTAAGACTATATGATATAGGCTTCAGACTGAGCCTTTAGTTCAAAGGTTTCAGAGTTTATAGGAATATGCATAAACACTCAACGTCTAGCTGTCCTTCTGGTTCGGAAAAAACTCTCCTTGATTAAGTTTAATTCTCTTACAACTTCACTCATTTCCAACCGGTTCATAGGAGATTCTTCAGAGCACCTAAGTCCCACATCCAAAACCAGTGTCAAGCACTCAGCAAGAGGGAAACCGACAATGAACTCACTGTGGAGAATAGATTTGTCTACAATGTCCAATACTCGCTCAGGCAATGCAGACTTGGTGTAGCTGTGTAGGGTAAAGTTTCCTCCAAATAACTCATTGGTTGGTCTTTTCCCAGTGAACATTTCCAAAATGAGAACCCCAAAGCTATACACATCACCTTGTATTGATGGTTGTCCTCCCATTCCATATTCTGCACCATAATTAACAAAAACAAAATTGGAGTATTAAAAGAATATACCAATTTTCTTCATTGAAAATTATAGATGTGTGGTGATAGTTTTACCTGGTGGGGCATAGCCAATGGTTCCTCTGACACCAGCAGAGCTGAGTTGATTGAGGAAAGACTCCTGGTCGAATTTAAGGAGGAGTCGAGCAAGACCAAAGTCGCTAAGATGGGCAGTTAGATCATCATCTAGAAGTACGTTGCTTGGCTTAAGATCACAATGAGCTATAGGTTCATGGCAGTTAAAATGAAGATAGTCCAAAACAGAAGCCACATCTATCACTATGTTAAGCCTTTCAAGAAGTGTCAAAGTTCTTGAAGGCCTACTAATCTCTTCGACTTCCTCTTGGTGCAACCAAATATCCAGGCTTCCATTAGGCATATACTCATAGATGAGAGCTCTGAATTCGTTTCCTTGAAAATCAATACTCGAACAAGCCGTCAATAGTTTCACAAGATTACGATGCCTTATGTCTTTCAAAGATTCACATTCAGCTAGGAAACTCTTCATTGCTCCACGTCTCTGCATGTTTAGAATTTTCACGGCAACAACTTTCTTTTCCGCCGGAAGAAATGCTTTAAACACAGTACCAAAACTGCCTGATCCAATCAAATTTCTTGAAGAGAACCCATCTGTTGCATTTCGTAGATCTCCATAACTTATCTTCTCATGGAAGACCTCCAAAGTAGAAGGAGTTGTATTATTGGTCTGCTTCTTCTTCTTTCTTTTTCTGAACCGATATAAAGAGACTAAAGCTATGAACAAAAGCAAAAGCAAGGTTATGCCAACGCTAACTCCAATCACAGCTTTCTTCAAAAGAGAGGAATGCTTCGTCTTCATTGCTGGTGCTTGCGGAATGCATGGCTTTAGTTTCAGTTCCTTGATGCCTCCACAAAGATTTTTGTTTCCAAATAACAAAACTATAGAAGAGTTCTGAAATTTCCCTTGTGTTGGCACCCTTCCCTCAAAATTATTGATGGATAGATTAAGATACTCCAACTTAGAGAATGTTGCAAGATATTCAGGTACACTTCCAGTGAGATTATTTTTCGACAAATCAACTCTACGAACACCCACCAATCCTCTGATATCTGGAATGGTTCCATGAAAAGAATTTTCTTGCAGATAAAGTTCTTCCATCGAGAGGCATTTTCCCAAAGTTTGTGGAAGTTGTCCTGATAAGTTAGTATTTCCAAGTGATAGCACAACAAGATTTTGTAATCTTCCAACATCCTTTGGTAAAAATCCAGTGAAAGAATTAAGTTCCATGATTATGTGAACAAGGGATGGCATTTGCATAATTTCTCGAGGTATAGTTCCATTCAACTTATTAGATCCAATATACAAATATAGTAGGCGACTACAATTTCCAAGACTTGTAGGAATGGGTCCTTCAAAACTATTGTTGGACAAATAGAGTGTTTCTAACTGAGTGAGGTTGCCTATAGAAGAAGGTATCCTTCCTGACAATCTATTTGAATCCAAACCTAAATAACCCAATTCTACAAGCTCCCCAATAGAGGTTGGGAGTGCTCCTGTCAACTTATTTTCAAACAACTCAAGTTTTTGTAAGCCTATGAGTTTCCCAATGTCATGAGGGATGCTTCCAGAAATGAGATTGGTTTGAAGCTTTAACTCAGTGAGGCTTGTAGACAAATTGGCAATGGAGGTAGGCAAGTCACCCCCAAGCCTATTGAGACCCACACTTAAGATAAGTAATTGGGTGCAGTTGGACAAGGCATCAAGAAAATCAAGATCTCCAAAGAAGTTATTTCCCAGAGAATTACCATGAAGTAGTAAGGTTTCCAAATTTTGTAACTTCCCAAAACTCAGAGGAATACTTCCTGTAAGACTGTTATACTCGATTGCCATCATTTCTAGAGCAGAGATATTAGAAAGTGTTGTTGGAATGACTCCTGTGAAATGATTATTTCCCATATATAGCTCTTGAAGGTTAGGTAGCAAAATACCAAAATCTGGCCGCAAGCTACCAGAAAAACCATTACCAAAGATGTTTAGCATCTCAAGTGAGGATAAATTGTAAATGGAGGGAGGAAAAACGCCTGAGAAATTGTTCACCGATAATGAAAGAAAAACCATTTGGGTCAATCTAGCTATATCATCTGGAATTCTTCCATCTATTTTGTTATTGGTAAAGCTAAGTTGCATGAGTGATGTCAAGTTTCCTAGAGATGCAGGGAGCTTTCCCATTAGGTTGTTTGGACCAAGATATAAAATAAGAAGCCTTGTTAATGACCCTAGTTCTGAAGGAACACCTCCTCCAAGATGATTTGAATCTAACTCAAGGTCCAACAATCTAGAGCAGTTAAATAGATCCACTGGTATCTCTCCTCCAAGAAAATTAAAGCTCATATTCAAGTACTCAAGTCTAAACAAGTTTCCCACTTCTTGAGGGATGGTTCCACCAAAAGAGTTATCAGAGAGATCAAGTGAGATGAGAAACGAAAGATTACCAATAAACGGTGATATCACTCCACCTAATTGTAATCTTCCGAGGTTTAGACCAATAACTCTCTTGTGTTTGCGGCCACATGTAACCCCATTCCAGTTGCAGAGAGGGAACGAGTTATTCCATGAGGACAAGACTACTCTTCTGTCTTCAGAAACTTGAGACTTGAACTTGAACAAGGCTTGCCGATCAGTTTCATCGGTAAAGACATATGCTTCAAGTAACATGAGAGCATGGAAGGAAAGTAAAATAAACACTCTCATGTTTCTCATTTAGATTCTTCTTTTCGTTTTTGTTAAGATCTTTTGGTGTTTCTCATATTGTGCAGGAAACTGAATATAAAGGACGAGGCAAAAGCAAGATGCATTTACCTTGGTGGTGTTACTGCTACTTGAAAGAAAAATTGGGATAGTAAATTGGTTCACAGCCACATAGAGAAAGCTTCAAAATGGTACGGACTGTTGCTATCTAAGTCAATTAGTCAACCGTCTAAGAAGACAACAAAGATCATTAGTCTTTTTGACGTTTCTATAGACATCATCTCGTGGATGCATTATTTTTCCCATGATGGGACAATTAACTTAGTGCTCTCTGAGCTTTGTGGACTCTTCTAAACTTAAACACATACCTGGAATATTACCATCACAAAGCAGTCATTTTTTTCTGATAACATTAGTTTATGATACAGATCTCATTGCACATAAAAACAGAAAATGTTCACTACCAACTAGTCTATTGAATGCAAGCCAAACAAAAAAGATGCAGGACAGGTTGTAAGAAAAATTTATCTTGATCACCTAGGAAAAAAATCAAAATTTTGCAAAAGCTGGGAAATTCCAAATACACATGAAAAAATGAGGATTATAAAGGGACCCAACATTTATCTTTAGTTTGCAAATAAAATGGAATCCGTTAACAATATTCTGCAAGCATATGTACAACACTATCATTGCCTGACACAAAAAACTTGAGACACAGGTAACAAAAATCAGAACTTTGGATTACGAAAAACTGAGAAAAAAGAAAGTTTCTTTAGCGTCAACGTTGACGATTACTCACAATTTGACCGGTAACTTCCCCGGCGACGACATGGGTTCCCCAAAGCTCATATGCGGCAGCATTAAGGCCTGAGTTCGCAAAGACGAACTGTGTGGTGTTTTATGACTAACAAAACGGCGAGTAGTATTCAACGAATACAGGTAAACAGCTTAAAGTGTTTTTGTTTTAAAAAAAAAATATTTTGTTATTCGTTAAATACTACTCGCCGTTTTGTGATTCGTTGAATTGTTCGACCGTTCCTCCTGATCTGGAACAATGATGACTCTTTTGCATAACTTACATTTTGCAACTCAAGATTCTCTAAATTACAAAATCTCCCCTTTTCCCAGATCATCGTCTTCTTCTTTCTCCAACGTTCGGCTTCCGATTAAAAACAATCGAATTCCCTGCAACAAGCTGAGAATGGATTCCTCTGAGAAAACTTCAGGTATTGTAACAATGGTGTTCCCAAAATCGATTCCACTCCGCGATTTTCAGTTTTTTTTTCCCCGTAAGATTCTGACTTGTGGATACTTTGTTGTTTCTGGTTTTAGCTTGCGCTCAACAGAAGATCGAGATTCCGAACAGCCACAACGAGAAACTGTTGGGTCTGCTTCACGAAACTGGTTCAAGAGAAATTGTGGTCTTGTGCCATGGATTTCGATCCAACAAGGTTAGTGAGATTTAGCTTATTGGTGTGATTTTTGATTCATGTCTTTCTTCTCACTTACCCTTTATGAATCTGGAATCGTAATCAGTGATTAACCACTCACCAGCGTAAAAAACTTCAATCTTTTTTTCTCTCTTTTAGCTCTTGTGGTGACTTGAGATCTGAGATTTACTTGATTCTCTGACATGGCGTAGAAACTTATTGTAGTTAAACAAAATTCGTATTTTGGAACATATCTTATGAGTTTAACTTGTCTTTTGGCAAATGAAATCTATGCAGAATAACCAAATCATGAATAATGTGGCTGCTGCTATAGAGAAAGAAGGGATCAGCGCTTTCCGTTTTGATTTCTCTGGGAATGGGTATGTCTCTCTTGCTTGCTTTAAATCATTGATCTTTTTCATCGGTGAATGAGAGAATATGGATTTTGATTTGCAGAGAGAGTGAAGGCAGTTTCTATTATGGTAACTATAACCATGAAGCCGATGATCTACATTCTGTTATCCAGTACTTCTCTAGCTTGAACCGTGTGGTTCCTATTATTCTCGGGCACAGTAAAGGTAAACGATCTTCTGCCTCGAGCAGAGGTGTGAATCCTGACATTTGCAAGAGATTTTTCAACTTGTTTTTGACTTCTATACTTTTTAAAAAGCATAGGAGGTGATGTGGTCCTTCTCTATGCGTCCAAGTATCACGATATCCGCAATGTAATCAATCTCTCGGGACGTTATGACCTGAAAAAAGGCGTAGTAGAGCGTCTCGGGGAAGATTTCTTGGCAAAAATTAAGCAACAAGGATTCATCGATGTTAAAGATGGTATTTTTATTTGCTCGTGTGTTTTTTCCTGCATTGTCTCAGTTCGGAGCTCTAGTGTTCTCTATGCATAAGTGCTTGGTATTTTAACAGGAAAATCAGGGTATAGGGTTACTGAGGAGAGCTTAATGGAAAGGTTGAACACTGATATGCATGAAGCTTGTCTCAAGATTGACAAAGAATGCAGGTTAGAATTAGATTTTTCCGAGTTTCTCTCTTAATTCACATTGCATGCTTGGGATATAAACACAAGCCACGGTCGATGTAATGAGCAGGGTCTTGACGGTTCATGGATCGGATGATGAGGTTATACCCGTGGAAGATGCAAAAGAGTTTGCAAAGATCATACCTAACCACAAGCTGGAGATTGTGGAAGGAGCTGATCATTGTTATACCAAACATCAAAGTGAATTGGTTTCAACAGTTATGGAGTTCATAAAGACAGTCATCGTGAAGAACAACTAGTCTTATTTTTCTTTTAAGCAACTTCTGATTTCATAGAAACAAAAGCGGTACACTGTCTTGTTTATTTGATCGAGCTTATGTAATCCAACATCTACAGAGCCAATTCATCATCAATATTGAAGCTGTTCTAATTGTACACCTTAAGCGTATCTATCACCTACTGTGCGAATTTTGGCAAGTATAGCACGAAGAGGTCAGAGTTGTTCACGGCTTTGCGGCTCTCATTCTTAATATAAGGACATGACATTGTTCAAAAGCACCAAAACAACATGACTTGATGACTGCACACAGATAACCAAATTCCTTAACCAAATATGTATCCAAGCACAGAGGTTTCACAAGTTGCTTTAACATTAACAACAAATCAGCAATATAAACACAGCAAACACAAGGTTGGAGTTTAACAAAGCAACACAATAAAACCACTCCAACTCAGACAAACACATTTTCAGCTCAGACCTTGATTTAGCTCATGCATCACTATTTTTCAGGGAAAAGAAAAACAGAACTTGAGAGCTTAAGAAGAAAAAAAGATATAACTGCAAACAAAAAGATAAAACAAACACAGGAAGTTTAAGAAACACCATCTTGGTCACTCAGAAAAGGAAAACATAAACACAACTGGTTATAAAAATAATACTATATCGGCCTCAGTTTAAGCCGTTTAAGCGGGTTGCAAAATTTGTAAAGAAAGCCATAAACACTTTAACGTCTTGTTGTTCTTTTGGCTTTAAAGAACCTCTCTCTGATGGAGATTAACTCCTTTGTGGCTTCACTTGTTGCCAATCTGTTTGTCGGATATTCTTCAGAACACCTTAGTCCCACATCCAAAATCATTGTCAAACACTCAGCAACAGGGAAACCAACTCTGAGACCACTGTGAATAATAGATTTGTCTGCAACGTCCAATACTCTTTCTGGCAACGCCGACTTGGTGTAACTGTGTAGTGTAAAACTTCCCCCAAATAACTCATTTGTTGGTCGTTTTCCAGTAAACATTTCCAAAAGGAGAACCCCGAAGCTATACACATCACCTTGTACTGATGGTTGTCCTCCAACTCCATATTCTGCACCAATAATTCACAGAAACAAAATTGGAGTAAAAAAAAAAATGCTAAACTGTGTTCATTCAAACATTACAGATGTGTGATATTTTTACCTGGTGCGGCATAGCCGATAGTTCCTCTGACACCGGCTGAGCTGAGTTGGTTGAGGAAGGACTCTTTGTCGAATTTGAGGAGAAGCCGAGCCAGACCAAAGTCACTAACATGGGCTACTAAATCATCGTCGAGAAGGACGTTGCTTGGCTTAAGATCGCAATGAGCTATAGGTTCATGACAATGAACATGAAGATAGTCCAACACAGAAGCCACGTCTATAGCTATGTTAAGCCTTTCAAGAAGTGTTAAGAATTTTGAGGGCCTACGAATCTCTTCGACTTCCTCTGGGTGTAGCCACATATCCAAGCTTCCATTGTACATGAACTCATAGATCAGAGCTCTGAATTCGTTTCCTTGGAAATCAATACTCGAGCAAGCTGTCAATAGTTTCACAAGATTACGATGCCTTATGTCCTTGAGTGATTCACATTCTGCCATAAAGCTCTTCATTGCTCCACGTCTCTGCATGTTTAGAACCTTGACTGCAACAACTTTGTTCTCCATCGGAAGCAGTGCTTTAAACACAGTACCAAAACTGCCTGATCCAATCAAATTTCTCGAAGAGAAACCATCTGTTGCATTTCTTAGATCTCCATAACTTATCTTCTCATGGAAGACCTCCAAAGTAGAAGGAGTTGTATTATTGACCAGCTGGTTCTTCTTCCTTTTTCTGAGCCAAAGTAGAGAAAATGAAGCTACCAAAAATAGCAAAACCAAAGCTATGCCTATGCCTACACTGATCAAAACTTTCTTTAAAAGAGAGGAATGCTTTTTCCCCATTGGTTCTGCTTGCGCAAGGCATGGCTTTAGTTGCAGTTCCTTGATGCCTCCACATAGATTTTTGTTCCCAAACACTGAAAATAAAGTAGCATTCTGAAAATTCCCTTCTGTTGGCACCATCCCCTCAAGATTATTAATGGATAGATTGAGATATTGCAACTTAGAAAAGTTTGCAAAACATCTAGGAATATTGCCAAAGAGACTATTTCTAGACAAATCAACTTCTTTAACACCAAGCAACCCACTAATATCTGGAATGGGTCCATCAAAAAAGTTACCTTGCAGAAAAAGCTGTTCCATCGAGAGACATTTTCCCAAGGTTTGTGGGAGCTGTCCTGATAATTGATTATGCGCAAGAGACAGCGTAACCAAATTTTGTAGCTGTCCAATGTCTTTTGGTAGAGAACCAATCAATGAATTACCTTCCATGCTTAGGTTAACAAGGGATGAGATTTTCATAATTTCTTGAGGTATAGTCCCATTCAACTTATTAAACCCAATCTTCAACGATCGTAGGTTACTACAGTTACCAAGACTGGAAGGAACAGTTCCATGGAAACTATTGTTGTCCAAATTCAGTGAGACTAACCGAGTGATGTTGCCTATAGAAGATGGTATCTCTCCTGACAAACTATTGGAACTGAGACTTAATCCCTCTAATTCTAAAAGCTTACCAATAGAGGTTGGGACTAGACCTGTTAACAGGTTTTTTTCTAACCCAAGACCTTGTAGGCTGATGAGACTCCCAATGTCATGAGGAATGCTTCCATAGATGAAATTTGTATCAAGGGCTAAGCTGTGGAGGTTTGTAGAAAAATTTGAGATGGAGGTAGGTAAGTGACCCCCAAGCCTATTTTCACCAACAAATAAAGTTTCTAGTTTGGTGCAGTTAGTTAAAGCACCAAGAAACTCAAGATCTCCAAAAGATTGACTTCCCAAAGAATTTCCAAGAAAAGACAGGTATTGCAAATTCTGTAATTTTCCAAAGTTTGGTGGAATACTTCCTGTCAAACTGTTGCGGCTGATTCCAAACTTTTGAAGATTCGAGATGTTGGCAAGTGTTGTTGGAATGGCTCCTGTGAAATGATTCCTTCCCATAGATAACCAGCGAAGATTTGGCAGCAGATCACCAAAATCAGATCTTAGGCTACCAAAGAATCGATTACCAAGGACACCTAAACACTCAAGTGAAGACATATTGTAGAAAGTAGGAGGAAAAACACCTGAGAAGTTGTTTACTGCTAATTCAATATACACTATTTGAGTCAATCTAGCTAACTCTACTGGAACTCCTCCTTCAACATTGTTGAATCCAATGTCAAGAGTCTTGAGGGATGTCAATTTTCCTAGAGATGCAGGGAGCTTCCCTCTCAGCTTGTTTTTACCAAGACTTAAAGAAACAAGCTTTGTCAATGACTCTAGTTCTGAAGGAAAGACTTGATCAACATGATTTGAATATAAATCAAGTTCCAACAATCTAGAGCAGTTATAGAGACCAGCAGGAATCTCACCCTCGAGAAAATTAAAGCTCATATTCAAGTAATGAAGTCTAAACAAGTTTCCCACTTCTTGAGGGATGTTTCCACCAAAAGAGTTTTCAGAGAGATCAAGTGCTATGAGAAACGAAAGATTACCAATAGATTGTGATATTACCCCTCCCAATTGCAATCCTTTGAGGTCTAGCTCAACAACTCTCTTGTGTTTAAGGCCACATCTAACCCTGTTCCAGTTGCAAAGAGGGAATGAGTGATTCCATGAGGACAAGACGACTCTCTTGTCTTCAGAAACTTGAGACTTGAACTCGAGCAACGCTTGTCTATCAGTTTCATCTGTAAAACAGTATGCTTCAAGTAACATGAGAGCACATAAAGAAAGTAAAAGAAACAATCGTCTCATGCTTAAAAGCTTTTTTTGAAGCTTTTTTTGCAGGAAACTGTATATATCCCTTTAATTGTGGTGATAATGCAGCTTGAAAGATTTACATTAATGGCTCCCAACTACACACACATATATATATATCGGGAAAACTGCTGTAGAATCGGTGGTGCGCAATGTATACAACCTTTTTTCCAATTCAAAAAGACAAAAGCATTTTCACTAGTCTTTACGACTTAGCTATAAAAGTTTCTTTGGTGTCAAAGAGAGAAATAAAAAGTAATTATAGTTTACTCACAGTTAGATTTCCTTGACAGGCAGGATCTTTGGGGATGACTTGGTAGCATCTATCTGTCTTGACCAGTGGTCCATATTCAATGTATCTTTCTTGCCATGAAAGTCAAGTAGCCAATTGTCTAAAACCGACCAAAAAACATATGAAATTATAGTCTTTAGGACTTTTGCTTTAGCCAACGTGGATTCATGAAGAAATCGACCAATTGGCGACAGGTTTTGTGTTATGTAATAAAAGCTTCTTTGGGGTCAACTCAGCGTTGACGTTTACTCAGAGTTTGATTTCCTTGACCGGAAAGATCTCTACATTCTTCATGACTTTCACAGTTCTTCCATTTTGATCTTGCAGATTCTGTCACTTCTTCTTTAAGTGTGAGATAACCGACCCCAATTGTCTGTTCAATTCCAGTCCCGGTTTAGCCTTTAGTAAAACCAAACCTGGACGATGTTCATCTTCCTTAGATGAAAACAAAGAACAACATGAACATCAAGTAACATAAGAGCAATGAAAGCAAGTAAAGAAACAGTCTGCTTCTCATATTTGTCAGGAAAAATTGATTCAAAGTTTTTAAAAAAAATGATTGGAGAACAAAATTGGTAATCTAAAGGTTTTTAAAAAGGTAACTAAATATTGAGTTCGCAATGATGAACTGTGTGGTGTTTTATTGTGAATAAAATGGCAGGTATTGCTCAACTACTGTTGTTACTCCGATTCTCGGACACGTCGTCCTCCTCTACGCCTCCAAGTATGGTAATATCCGCAATGTAGTCAATATCTCTGGACGTTATGATCTGCAAAAAGACATACGTCTCGGAGAAGATTATCTCGAGAGGATTAAGCAAGAGGGATTCATCTATGCGAAAGAGAGAAAATCCGTGTTCGTGTTACAGAGGGGGAGCTTTATGTTGAGAATCAATCCAAAGTCCCACATCGGAAGTTTAACTATATGGTCTACCATATAAAAGTAATGTCCAACTCTAATTCGTATGAAGTTTTTTTGGAAGGAACCCAAAAATAAATTCGTACAGACTTTGCCAGTTGGGCCCAAAACGGACAATATCATATTAATTAAGAGATTTGGATATGAGTTTAGAAAAGCCCAATAGGTTAAACACTTATATGCATGAGTCTTGCCTCAAGATTAACAAAGAATGCAGAGTCTTGATGGTTCATGGGTTCATGGATCGGATGATAAGGTAATACCAGTGGGAGATGCCAAGGAGTTTGCTAAGATCATACCAAACCATAAGCTGGAAGTTTTTCAAGGAGCTAATCATGGTTATACCAAACATCAAAGTCAATTGGTTTCAACAGTCATGAAGGTTTATAATGACAGGGATTGTTAAGAACAACAACTAAGTCCTCTCCTTTCTTGTTTCTTAAAGAATTGTTCATGATGTTACATACTACATTTGAATCTTGCGTGTGTTCATTCAATCAAAACTTATTTGCTTGTTCCTAGTCTCCATACTAATCTGTCTTGTTTCTTTGAGAAATGTTCATGAAGAAAAATAATCATAATAACAATAAGACTGTACATAGTGCAGTGAGAGCTCTGTGTCAACATTTGGGAGAAGAGAAGTAAACATTAACAGACTCGGAGAACATAAACGTACGAGGATAACAGGTTGAAGACGCATAATAGTAGTAGGTGGAAAGTTCTTACAACCAAGTTCTCAGGGTTTTTTTGTCTTGTAGTCTTACCGGAGAATCATTGCCGGGAAGGATCAGACTGGTGTTGGGTTGGAGATCGGTGGCTCCGGTGCAACAGCGAAGTGAAGTCCCCTGCGTTGAGGCACACCACCATGTATCATGAAAGCAACTTCTGCTGCAGCTAGAGCCGCTGCTTCCTGCTATCATAGAAAACAAAACCGGTCCAGTGTCTGTTAGATTGAAGGCATTTACAACATTAACAGAGTTTATGCAAGAGATTTTTTGTTGTGTTCATCACACCTGTCTTTGCCTCCGGCGTTGTAGTATACCGATGGCCCATGCCATGATGTAACATGGGAGGAGAAAACCGGCGGCTCGAAGAAGGAAAAGCTGTTGAAACCAAACAGAGCAAAAACAAAAGGAATTATAATCAAACATTAACAAGAAACACAATGAAGTGTATTCAGAGAAGTAAGTAAGTAAAGATGTTCATACAGAGAAGAAAGCAGTTGGATCGTCCTCGTCATCAGGGTTAGTTGTGAGGTTTAGCGCATCTCGTAACAGTAAAAGCGCCATTAGCTGCCATTACAGAAGTAGAATGCAAGCATTTAGTAATGAGTTAGTGTTGAAGATTGATATTCTCGACAAGATGATTGAGAAGAGTAAGCTTACGATGAGAGCAGCAGAGCGACAAAAGGCAGCTCCGCTTGAGTTAGACTCATTGTACTCGTCATAGTCAGCTTCCAAGAAATGGCGTTCTGCTGCAGCCATTGCCAGGATTCGTGGGTCGCTCAAGTCCAAAGGAACTCCGTTCTCCCAATCGTCACTACAAGATGCGTTTTCAAATAACATAAACAAGTCGAGAGAGACAATAAGGATCCAGAATAAAGGAGATAATCACAAAAAGAGAAAACTTCCTAACAATCCAACATTAAAAAAGCAAGGAAATCTATATAGATATGAAGATTTCTCAGTAGTACTATCTTTCTAGTGATGTTACCAATAAGTAAACCACATTTCAGAATATTACATGAATAATGTTACTTATCGATATCTACCACAACAAATTATGATGTAAGATGTAATTAAATGTATAAACTAAAGAAAATGGACGAGAGACACAGGTCATTACTTTTTATTAAGCTGATGGTATTATTTAGAAGATATCAGTTTGTTATAAATGGTTATGGATAATCAGTAAAGCGCCACAAAACATAGATTCATAAAACTTACCCGATGTGAATTATAGTTTCATCAGAAGGAGGAGGTGGAGGAGCTGTATAACCAGGTTGATAAGGCTGTTTGTCAAGGTAGAAAACAAGAACTTTTTAGAACATTACCTTGTAGTTAATAAACAAGCAATTGAGCAGCGATAAAAAAGACGAACCATTCTAAGCTAACATAGAACAGTCCCAATAAGTACACAAAAGAAACAATCAAAACCTCAAATCGAGGAGAGGTAAGTAATATAGTAACTACAGCATTTTCGTTTGTTTATTTGTTCATTTCTTCATCCAAGAGTGAAACAATATTTGCAATTGTAGTGCCTTGAAAGCTATGTGCTTAGATCAACATATTGACATAAAGATACAGCCTTTAGCAGAGAGAGATAAGCCATGTAGATACAAACAATATAAATAGAGGAATGGGTCAATTTAACCATCCAAAAGTTAAAATCTCATTTGCATTTGTGGTGCCGTAAATTTATGAAATTAGATTGGTAAATTAACATAAAGATAGCAGCAGAGTATGAGAGATTAATCACCTGGTGACATATTTCGCAGGTTATGTCCCCTTTCTCATTACACCAACGCTGAACACACTTGCGGTGCGCATACTGCATAATCAAAATCCAAGAGAAATTTACAAACCAATACCATCAAAAACAAAGAACAATGAAACACAACGAATCTGACTTATAAAAAGTCACATAATTTTTACCTTCAAACTGCCATTACAAGCACAAGGAGCCTCGAGGTTCTTAGTGGTATCTTCCTCCTGGCAAATACGGCACTCAACAACAGATTGGAGAAAGGGTTCCTCTTCCGCAACAGCATAGTACTCCCTAACTTCCTCCGTTTCATGCACAGATGAAGAAGCCAAGTCTGTGCCTTGAGGCCTTGAGCTTTCTCCAGAAGAATCTGATGACTCAGATTCTATTTCTGACTTCAAGCTCTCAGCCGTTATGAGACGATCGGTACATAAACTCAAATGATCGGCCATACTTTAAACTAAGAAGCACCAAATGATAAAATGTTGTTGATCTGTAACAAGAAGCTCCAACACTTTAAAACCAAAAATAAAAAAGCATCCTTTAAAATGAGAACATTTGATAACCTAACAATATCACTGAAAATATCTAATTACAGGAAAATTTCCACAAAATAAAACAAAGAACTATTATGGAAACGCGTAAAACAAGGGTTTGTGATGCTTCGAAATTTCCCAGGAATCAGCAAAAATCCAAATCGGAAAAGCCCCAAATTCTAGAAACAAACAGAAAGAGAGACAGGTATGATTCGATCTGCAGAATGAAACCCTAATATTCAACAAATGAGAAAATCCAATCGTAGAAGACAAAATTTGAACAATATAACCCTATAGAAGAGTATAATAATCGAGGGAAAATCAACATTACCTAGAAATGATTCTCGAATCGAAGGAAGAAAACAAAAAAAAAAGATAAGCTCTTTCGAAAATCTGGAACCTTGAAGCTCAAATGAAACTCTTAAAATTTGTGTTTGTTTTCTTTCCGTGTTCGGTCTGAAAGAAAAAAAAAAAATCAGATAAACATTAATCCAATCTATTTATTAATGGGAGCGCGTGTGTATAAAAATATCTCATACACAATACGTGTATAGGCGCATTGAAAAGAGGTTCGGTTTGTACGAACCGGAGCTTTGGAGCTTGGTAAGATAACGTCCGTTAAACGGCTAGTTGAGAAAAGCGTTGTAGATAACCAAACGGCGACGGAAAGCCGTTGGGTTGAAATTTTTTCATGTTTTGTTTCATGTTTTGTTTCATGTTTTGTTTCATGTTTGTACCATTTATGTAAGGGCTCTGATTAGATTTTAAGTACACTTTTAATAAAGACATTCAACCGAAATCAGATACAGGAATTAATTAATTGGTCCATATAATTTGTAAACGGATGTGATATAACGGCTGAAAAATAATTTATTTGACAAAAAACATTATTTGCTTTCAATAGAATAGACTAGAGTAAATGGACCAAGGTGTAGCTTTTAATAAGTTGAAAATTCTAGACGGTCCCTGATTTCTTACGAGTTAGTTTGACTTTTGACTTTTGACTTTTTCCTCTTTGGCTAATCCGGATTTTAATTTACAGATACTTAAAAGGACTAACCATAAACTAATTACAGAAAACGTATTACATTGTTTGCATGATTGGAGCGAACCGGTTCGGTTAGAAGAAACTTCAAAACCGAAACCATGAGAAATCTATGTCGCTTACCGGTTCGCTCACCTAACAATCGAAGAACTAAAGCATCAGACGATTCTTGCAACTGTCTTTTTTTTTTTTTTTTATCCCGGAGCTGTATTACGTGCTTCCCCGATGAGATATGTTCTATGGTGTGCTAATGTATTTGATTGTTTGTGCAAAGTTCTTGTTATAAGTTTTATGAGAGCGATTTTGATTCTTGCAACTGCCTTTTTTAAGATGAAGAGGGAAGATGATAGATCTCTCCCATGATTTCTTTAAATTGAGAGCGGCCAATGATCCAAGCTCGAACCGTCTGGTCAAAGCTTGACCATCTCATGAGAAGAAAATCTTGCAAGTTACAACCAAGAATAGAGCGTTTGAGAATTGAGATGATTTTTTTTTTTTTAATTATAAGGTCAGTAGTTTGTGGGATAAACTTTAAATTATTTTTTAAAAATATAAAATTTAAAACTACCAAATGCAATCCAAAAATTTTCTTTACACTAATAAAAAAAATTATTACAAAGATAATTCTACAATAAATAATGTTATTCGCTCTGCAAGACTCCACAAAAATCTATGATGACGATAAATAGTTCTACTTGTATTATGCTAAAAATTTCTTTATAAGTTTGTTTTCATTCATCTGTGAAAATCAAATTCTGGATTCTTGATGTAGAAACATTAATAACTTTTTAGCCAACTATTAGATTTAGAGTTTCCACCCAATCCAGAAAGTAATAACTCGCAAACAACTTAAACCAAACAACCGCTGCTTTGTGTGAAATTATTATTCATTCTTTCATACAATAAAAAGAAAAATATTATAAAATAACTTTATTTTTCGAATACATATCAACATTATTAACCCAACAAAAAAAAACTATTTCAAATGGTTAATTAATGGCACGTTTTTTTATGGGAGCGGCATGTAACGGATTGGTCTTGTGCAAGGTAACACCAAAAGTCTCATCCATGTCCGAAACAGCGCCGTTTGGAAGCTTCCAGTCAAAAGAATGAAGAAGAGAAGCAAGCATAAGAGACACTATCTTCGTAGCCAAAGGCAATCCCGGGCAAATTCTCCGTCCAGCCCCAAACGGTGTAAGCTCATAATCTCTACCTTTCACATCAATCTCTTTTCCCAAAAACCTCTCTGGCTCGAACACGTTTGGATTCTCCCACACGTTAGGGTCTCGTCCTATAGCCCACACGTCCACCAAAACTTGAGTGTCTTTCGGCACAAGGAATCCAAAAACTTCTACATCGGTTTCCGCTTTTCGTGGGAGGAGAAGAGGAACAGGTGGGTGCAAACGGAGAGTTTCTTTCACAACCGCTTGTAGATATGTCAATTCTGTTATATCAGGCTCTTGAACGACACCGTTTTGGCCTACCATACGTTCTATCTCGGCTTGAGCTTTGGCCATCGTTTTAGGGTTATTAAGTAACTCTGCCATTGCCCACTCTAGGGTACTTGAGCTTGTATCCGTGCCTGCTATAAACATATCCTGACATACAATCACATATAAGAGAGCTCAACATTTCAGATCAATATATAACCTTCATGCAATTCCATCTCAAAACATAGCTTTAAAAATGTCTTTTTATAAAATTGAATCTTACTTTGACATATACTAGGATTATTAAAAATTAACACAAACTTAATTGACAACGATTTCCTTACCAAGAGAAGGTGTTCAATATCGTTAATGTTGAGTTCTGCTTCATCCCCTAGGGTGAGATCGAGAAGCGCATCAACAAAATCTCTGTATGAGACATCTTTTGGATTATCCCGCAATGATTTTTCCGCGGTTTTAGCATCAATGAACCCTCGGAAAACCTTAAACAACCTCTCTGTACAAAGCTTCATCTTCTTCCTATTACCTTGCAGGTCAAGAAACCCAAGAAACGGGAAGAAGTTAGCAAGATCTGGACTCCCAGCAGCTTCCATGGCTCCAATCACTGAGTCCTGAAATCCATTTGAATTTTTCGAGCCGTAGCTACCGAGATCAACCGAAAATAGAATGTTCGATATGATATTAAGAGTTGTGATGAAAGATGCTCGAGAAATATCAACAGCTTCTTCTCTCTCGCTGCTTTCATCCATGAAGCTCATAAGCTCTTGCACCTTCTTCATCCGCAGAGCCTTAGTGGATTCAATACGCTGCGGGGAGAACAGATGAGTCGCCGATAGTTTTCTCAACAGTCTGAAACAAAACATAACCAACGATTTATTACTGTCTATATTAAACGGTCATTGTTGCGTTTGACATTAATGTTTTGAAGGTCTATAATTATCAGGTTAATTATTACGTTTACAAAGTTTCAGTATAAACACATTTAGAGAAAAGTAATCACTAAATGCAATCATTTTGCGTATACCTTTGCTAACTAAAATTCGGGTTTCTTCTATAACTTTTTTTTTAAGGTTACAACTTACAACTTACTAAATTTGATTTTTTTTTGTTTTGTTTTTCGTTTAAATTTTATACTAAATTTGAATTTGAGTACAAAGTGAACTAATATGTTTTAGATATATCTAGTAATTGTTGTTTATATATAAAATATAAATATTTTTTTTATCTAAAATAAGGCAAACGCAAATACTACAACTGAAAATAATAGACTATGGTACTGTATTTAGTTTCCGTTTATAATTTAAAACGTAATTATAACTATAGCGTCTTTTCTTTCTTAAAATGTAAAGAAAATAGTATAAACTACTAACCGCCAAGACAAATACAGCTATATGCATGCATTTGATCGAAACAATCCACTTTTTAGAAGCAAAACTCGAGAAAAATAAACAAAAAAAAATTCATAGAAAAATTATACCTCCAACGAGTCGACGAAGGATCCATCCAGGCAACGGAAACTTTGTGGTGATTGATGGACCGAATCGAGTTAGGGGAGTTACGGGCAGACAAGATTTGGTCGTGTGTTCTTAGAACCTCTCTAGCAGCTTCTGGTGAAGTTACGATCACTGTGTTTAAACTTCCAAGCTTTAGACTCATGATTGGTCCATATGTTTTAGAGAGGTCCGCGAATGAGCGGTGTGGGTGTTCACCGACTTGGTGAATGTTTCCTATAATCGGTAACCTTGGAGGTCCAGGAGGCAGCGTGGCAGCTTGGGAAGATCTCCGTTGAAATCTTGCCGTATTAAAGATCAAGAAACAAGATAAGAAGAAGCAAAAGGGCAAGAACAGAGAGACGATTTCCATCTGCATTTTCTCAAGTGATAGGTGTGAGATTTCTTTATTTACTTTTTTTTTGGTGAATAGATTTCTTTATTTACTTATTAACTCATATTATCTTACAAGAACTGAACCCACCTATTTATACTAGAAAAGAAATACTCGATATATTTGTAATTTTTTTTTTAAGATTATACTTTTCAAAATACTAATTTACTTTTTTGAACAGTAATTTCATTTCAGACTAAAATACAGTTACACATTAAAATAGGTAGGAGGAAGTCATGCAGAACCGATTTAGCTAAAGCATCGGCCGACATATTGTTTAAACGACGAATGAAAAAGGATGAGAGAAAGAAAATTGAATTGTTGGATCAATTTATCTTTATCGTTTTATTAAAAACTAAGAAGAAAATAAATTATCTTTGAAAAGAGCTATTGAATATGAACAATCATCGCAAATCATAAACAAAACTTTCGACCATCAGATTGTAAGACTACTTTTCAAACAGACATATGTTTAGATAGAGAGTTATTCATCTTTGAAAATGAAATTGTCTTTGCAAACATTTTTTTTTCATTCTCTCTAGCCTTTTTGTCAAACATTTCTCAATTTCTTAGGGTTGAGAAAAAATGGTCTATGAAATTATGTATGACGTAGCAGTTTTTTACTTTTTTTTAAATGACGTAGCAGTTTTTGGAAGAAAATTCGAATGTGGATCTTACCAAAAACTCCAACGAACCACTTTTATTAGTGTTAAATAAAGTTTACAGAACCAACATTTGTTACAAACTTTATTTGTTTTTTAAAGTGGTTCTTTGCAGTTAGTTTACAAAACCAAGAACTCCAGAGAACCTCTTTCATTTATTTACAAAACCAAAAACTCTAAAGAACCACTTTTATTACTGTTTACAAAACCAAAATTTATTTCAAACTTTGATTATTTTGATGACGACACATAAGTAGAATTTTTTAAAAGTCCTATCACTAATTTCTCAACCAATATTATATATATATATATATATGTACTATTAGAGGCTATATATTGTGACCACAAGAAAAATAAAGATCAAAAACTCTAAAGAACCACTTTTATTACTTTTTGTAAAACCAAAATTTGTTACAAACTTTAATTATTTTGATGACGATACATATGTAGAATTTTTGAAAAATCCTAACCACAGAAAAATAAAGATTAAAAACTCTAAATAACCACTTTTTCACTGTTTACAAAACCAAAATTTGTTACGAACTTTAATTATTTTGATGACGACACATAAGTAGAATTTTTGAAAAATCCTAACCACAAGAAAAATAAAGATCATAAACTTTAAATAACCACTTTTATCACTGTTTACAAAACCAAAATTTGTTACGAACTTTAATTATGTTGATGACGATATATATATATATATATATATATATGACGGAAGAAAAATGTTTATTTGCATATAAAAGAATAGATAGACAATAGTATAGGCAAATTTGACCGAGGTTGGAATTTTAAGAAGTTGTAAATGTCCGAAGTTTTTCTTACGAATTAGTTTGACTTTGACTTTCTCACCTTTGGAAGTTTCCAAAATTAATTTACAGATAAATATAGAAAATGTCTTCTTCCAATATTACCAGTCGATTAAATGAAGAAAACATGCGACAAAAAAATGAAGAAAACATATTGCTTTGTTTTTTTTGCCACGGAAATTTTTGTCGTTCATAAAACCAAACCAGAACGGGAAAAAAAAAAAAGAAATTTAAACGAGGCATCTTTTAAAACGATAATTTAGAGAAAAAAAAATATCATTGAACAAGAGGTTTCCAGGAGTGATGACTTGTGCAATAATTAATTCTTAAAGCAGAAATTCCCTCTCTTGCAGGCTTGGGCTTGGGACCTGCAAAAAGATGCATATTAATTAAATGATATTCAAGAATATAAAAGGAAATAAATTTAAATCTAGTCTAGAAAATCTAATTACAGAATTCTTAGAAATAAAAAGAAAAGTAGCCAAACAAATCTAATGACAGATTTTATTCCCCCATTGATGATTTTCTAGACTAGATTTAGATTTTTTCCTCCATTGATGATTATCTATCAGAAAGAAGCAAAACATGTTAGAAACTAGAGCTACTATATATACATTTGTATTATGAAGGGTTTTGACCATCATATAACTAAAAGCAAATTAATCATCACAATGTTATTATCCAATTTTGCTATACATTTTTGCATCATCCTCATTTTCCTGTTTGGTCGTTATGAATGTAAGTTCATACATATGCATATGTCCTTTAGGTTTTATTTATCGATTTTTCATTATTATCATTTGTAATAACAATCTTATCATAGTAATTATTTTTTTTTTATATATATATAATAGGTAGAAACATAGAGAATGTTGAAGCAAGCAAGTTAAATCTATCTCCATGCTTTCCATCAACTTGTGTGCAGTGGTGGAAGCAGCTTAGTGGGAGGTAGGTCAATTAATCCATGTAAAATCCAAAATTTTTTATATATATATATTTATATTTTTTGAAAAAAAATAGGTGAAATGTTAAAAATTTAACTTAATGATTCTTGTAAAATTTGCTCATAATACATTATAAATTAAAACTAATTCTTCTAATTTTTTTTTTAGCTTCGTCACTGCTTACATGCCTACTGATTTTAAGTGTTATTGCTGCCCCACAAAGAAGGAATTCTGCACACTTAGCGACCGAGATTGTGCAAAAGAATGTCTATACAAAGCTTAATCAAGCAAACCTTCCCAAAACTTAAGATTTCAGAATTTTGAAGAGCAATATATATATATATATATATATATATATATATATACGTGTACTTCGTTTACAGTTTCTCGTAATATGAGGATGTGTGACTAATACAAAACATTAGTGACTCCAATAATACGGTTAATACCTTTAGTGTTTGCGTTTAGTAATTTGAAAAGCCACGCGTAAACAAACAACACCAACAAAATTCAAACAATAAAAGGTTTGTTTTCTGAATGGATTTTAATTGATTTAAAAATCTTAGAACGATTTGGAAATAAATCCATGTTGGAAATTCTCTGATCTATATAATAAAAAATCTAGTGGATTTGAGAATTAAGTAAGGTAGATTTCAAAATCAAACAAATAGATTGTAAAATAAACCAAAATTGATTTATAATAAACTTTTAGTTATAGATATATATAAAAATATAAATAACAAATAAATATTTATATGTGATTCGGGTTTTAATGATTTAGGCTGAGGCTGAGATTTTGTTATAACACAAAATCAAAATAGCTGAACTCACAGACGATAATTAGATATAGAAAAGAGAAAGTGTATATACGTAATCTGTGGAATGACGTAATTGCATTTTTATACACAATTTTCAGATTTATTGCTAATTAATAAAAATCTACAGAATAAGAAAATATATACGAAAACACAAACTATATTTCTACTTAAAAAATAGAAAAAATTCATTTAAAAAAAAATTGACTTATAAATAGATTAATCTATTTTACAAAATTATTTTCGCAATTCTGCCATTTTGCAAGATTACCGATCAAATCCAAATTTATTGATAATTGCCAAAAATACAATGTTTTTTTTTAAAGAACATCAATACTGTAGCATGGAATAGATTTAGTCAAACAAAACTAACTACAGGTTTTTATGGATCACGCTACAAAGTACTACAACATAGTAACTTCTATATATATGTGTGTGTGTTTTTACATGTTAAGTTTCTTATCATCAGGCAACAAAACATTTATTTGAAAGAAAAAATTTTCACAATGTCATCATCCAATTTCGCTATCTTTTGTATCATCCTCTTTTCACTTGCTAGTCTTCATGAATGTATGTGTATGCACATATAGTTTAGGTTTTTGTTCATCATTTATCATCGATTACCATTGCAATTATAATCATATCCTCCATGAATTTTTTTTTTTTTTGAATTTTTTTTTTTTTATATAGGTACAAACGTGGAAGGTCTTGAGTCAAGCAAGCTAAATTTTCCACCGTGCTTGAAAGCACGTTGTCCTTGGAACAAAAAATCTAGATGTTATTGCTGCAGGGGATATTTTGATAAACTCTGCGAATCAACCGAACAGATTTGTGAGGCCAGGTGTATTCCCAAAGCTTAACCCAGCATCTACTTCAAAGATTCAAGAAATTTGAAGGTCACACGTGTGTGTGTGTCTGTGTTTCAGTGTTTGTTTTCCATTTGCAATCTGTTATACTATGAATAAGTGATTCCAACGATTATGATTTACTTTATGGGTTCATGAAATCTTTATATTATTATTTAAATAAATATTTTTTTTTATTCATCTATTATAGACTATGAGAACTACAGATTATGAGAACTATTATAAAGACAATTTTACAACTGACAATCTATCCATTCCAAATAATTCACACAGCCCAAGACCACCACGCTGAAAATTTTCTTATAAGCTTGCCTCCATAATAACTTGCAGAAATCGCATTTTATGGGAATCGAACCCCACACTTTCTGATGTAGAAGCATTAATTAACCTTTAGTCGACCACTGGACTAAGGGCTTCCACATTTAAGTAAATATTTAAAAAAATAACTTTTATTTTGTAAAATATTACATGATATGTCATTACAAATAACAAAAAATAATAAAAATATGAAATAATATAGTTGTCTTTCAAATTTACTAAAAAAATATAAAAAGTCTTTGTTTCTTTTTTAATAGAATATATTTATTATTTAATTTCTATATTAAAAAATATGGTATGTTTTAATTTTTTGTTTCAAATTATAAAATATATTAATTAAAAAACGTGAAAATAAAAAAATTTATAATTAAATAATATAAAAATTAAGACTAAAAATTATGATATAAAAAATAGTAAAATGTTTGTACTATAATTTGTTACTAGATTCTAACCCCGTGCATCCGCACGGGAATATTTTTTATTGTTTAACGAATTTTGTAATATAATTTGTGTTTTTGAGTTTAGATATAATTATTTTTATAAATATATTTTTTAATAAATGAAAATATTGATTTTTGTGTTTAGATATATTTTTATAGTATTAAAATTAATTATGATTATAAAATATAATTTTAATCCGTTCGCTAATATTAATTCAAAATGAACTATTATAAAACTATAATTCTAACTTTTCCGTTCATATTACCGTATAATATAAATATTTGTTAAAAGTTTGAGATGTATTAACAGTATTATTTAGCATTATAGTTTTCTAAAATTTAATCAACGAAAGGAGTTTACAACTGGTTTTTCAAACCACATTATAGTGTATGCAATAATTTTTAATTTTTTATGTTTTTATTTTGTATGAAAATTATATTTTTGATATACATGTATAATTCAAAATTAGTGATTTTAGTTACCAAAATATTTTTAACCAGGTTTTTATATATATTGATAGTTCTATAAATTTTAAAAATATATTTTTAATATTTAAATTATACATTTGAATTTTACATAATATTTTATTATTAATTTGTAAATAAATCATAATCGCAAATATATTATATAAGCAACATAAATATCATATCATTTACATCATTATAAATATTTTATATTTCAAATATGACCATTATTTTTCATATATGAATTATTTTTTTTCAAAAATTCTAGATATTTTTGATAAAAATGTTTAATAGTATAGAAATTATTTAAATTAGAATCTTTAAATCAAATCTAAATTAATATCTGATTTATTATTTTTAATCAAATCAAATCAAATCTAAATTACCTATATTTAAGGAACTTTAAAAATATTTAAATTAATAACTAATTTTCAAAATTAAATATAAATAATTATTAAAATTATTTTTAAACATTTAAAAAAATTAGGAGTGTTTGGAAGCAAGTACTTAATGTGCTTCTATTTTAATATAATAGATATTTACTTTATTATATATAAAAATAATTTTTTTGTTTACTTTGTTATTTTTGTTTCAAATGATATTATAAAATATATTTAATTAAAAGAAAATATGAAAATAAACAAAAATTCACAATTAAATAATATAAAATTAAGACTAAAAGTTATGATATTAAAAAAAAATAGTGAAATACTTTTTACTATAATTTATTATATTTACTTTATTATATATAAAAATAATTTTTTTAGTTATTTTTACCAAATTTGACACGAGAAAATTGATGTTTAATTAAAAAAAATTATGGTGAAGTGAGAGCTTTTAAACAGTGCATATTATAATTAGTTTTATATTTTAATTTAGTACAAACATGTTAAGTAAACAGATTAGTTCGATATGAACAGATTATTATTCTAATTTTTTAATATCCACCAAAAATAATCTCGTAATTCAAAATATTAGTTTTTCAAAAAGATGGTATACTTAATCTACTAAGTATTATAATTTGTCTTTTAAAACTATATATTGTTTGTTGTATTTTAATTAATTTTATATCAAACCTAAGTTTAAAGAATGTTATATTTATTTACATATATAGTTAAAGAAGATAAAACTGTTTATTTTTTTATAGTTCGTAGATAAATTATAAAACTCAGTTATTAAGCAATGCAAATTAGATTTGATGATTATAACATTATTCTATTTTGTGTATTAGCCTCAATAATATATTAGTCTAATACTAACGGGTTAAATAAACAGTTTATTTTGCTTTACCCGTCTATAAAATAACTTCATATACAGATTAACTCATTTTTTACAATTCAAACCAAAAAATAAAAATAACTCTATATACAGATCAACTTATTTTATAAAATTTACAAAATAACTGTTTTTGAAAAAATACTTGTTTTTATAAAATAATTGTTTTTTACAAAATTATTTAATGTAATTAAAGGTCAAAAAAATATTCTCTGCGCTACAGCGCATGTTAATCCCTAGTTATGATCTAATAGAACACCCAAAACGCAGGTAGTTAGAAGTGGGTTTAGGGGTTCTTAAACCCAAAAATAAATGAAAAATAAATAAAAATCCAAGAATCACACCTTAAATAATGCCTGCAAGAAGCGGTTCTTAAGGCATATATGTTAGTGCATTATTGGGCGAAAGACTTGAGAAAATTCATCCACTCTTTCATTTCTCAACTCATAGTTTTCTCCGACCAAAAATCACCGATTGCAAATCCTTTTCTCCGTCTTTTTGCCGCTGATGATCTCTTCTCCGTTGTCTGTTGTCTATTCTGTCCGCCGATCTCTTGTCATCGGTTATTCTTTCTCTGTTGTCTTCCTTCGTTTTCTCCGATCAGGTATTCTCTCTTCTCATCGTTTGCTCTGTAATTGTTTTTTCTTATTGATTTGCTTATCCTAAACAAAATTTACCTGCATGTGTTGTGTCTCCTATGCTCTTTCGTTTGTCTCTTTATTCGATTTGTGTATTCTGGTTTAGAATTTTAGGGTTTGTGATGGTTTGTGGGTAATCCAATTGATATATATGATGGTTTGTGGGTAATTGCTTGTTTGCTCCTTTGGTTGCTCTCTATCAAGGTACCATATAATTGTTTGCTCTTTTGTTTGTTATGTATCAAGCTACGGTTGATATATTTGAAGGATATCGTTCATTGTTTGCTTGAATTTGAGTAATTTTCTTGCTAGGAAAGTTCTTCAATTGTTTGCTTGCTAAAGACTCATTGCTAATGTAGTGTGTTTGTTTAAAATCGTGTTTGCTAATGATGTGTGTTTAATAGAGAGTCTTTTGTTGGTGAATGTCATATGATTGTTTGCTAACGATCTGTGTTTTTGTTTGCAACTTGTGAGCTTTGATTGGTTTGTAAAGGAGACCGAAGCCACAGCTGTGAGGAGTATCAATAGCGAGAAGCATTCCATTTTTGATTTGCAAGTTGTGAGGTATCTTTTCACATCTTTTCCAAGGTCATAAATGCATATCTGGTTAGGGTTTAGCTGTGTTAGGTACGAGATTAATGGTTTAGCTGTGCTAGATAGGTCATTGATGGTTAGATAGGAGATTAATTATCTATCTACTTGTTAGAAAATTTTCTAGTCCATAGTTATAAGCTTCTTTATCTGCTTCTTATATGATTTTTTTTTCTTCTATAAACACCGGCTTTTCTTCTCTTCCTCTCTCTCCTTCGTTTACCTTCTGTATCTGCTTCTTCTATTCGTCTCTTTTTTTCTCTATGAATTTTTCTTCTTCGTATCCATATACTCAATATCCTCCAACTTAACCCCTTTATGATCCCTTTTCTTCTCAAGGTCAAATCTCTCTCTTCAACAGTCAATGCATCGAAGCTTCAAGCTACCATGAAGACAGTCCTGCAGAGCGCAAAGAAAGAAGGATGTGGACGCCTACAGATGATGTCCTTCTCATATCCGCATGGCTAAACACGTCAAAACCCGGTAGTTGGCAACAAGCATAAGTCTGGTGAATTCTAGAAACGGATAACAGCAAACTTTGCTGCTAGTCTGAAGGCTGCAGGAAGAGAAAGAAGAGAAGCAATCACATGTCAGGCAAGGTGGCAAAAAAATTAATGACTAGGTGTGCAAGTTCTGTGGAGCTTACGAGGCTGCAACAAGAGAGAGAGCTTCTGGACATAATGACAATGATGTCTTCAAACTCGCACATGAGATCTTCTTCAACGACCACAAGAAAAACTTTACTTTGGACCATGTGTGGAAGGAGATAAGGAATGACCAGAAGTGGTGTGAGGTATCTGCAAATGAGGTATCTGCAAATAAAACTGAAGGAGTGGCTAAAAGGAGAAGGTGCGACGATGGTCCACATTCATCAAGTTTTGTCGCAGTAGAAAAATGATGTGATCATGGAACCGGAAGCATAAGTAGAAGTTCCAGAATCAGCCTTAGTCGTGCCAGGGGGTCCCGTTACGTGGTCAAAGTCCCGGAAGCTTGCTGGAGCTGTTCGGAGTTTGCTTAATAAAGGTAGGATTAGAACGGACTAGCTTACACCCAATGCCTTAAACATACTCACGTACCAGAGTTCTTGCTGAGGTTGGCCACGGTGTAAGTCATGGTACTCTTTTTCTTTACACTCAGTTTTGTCCCAATGGATTTTTCGGGTGAGGTTTTAACGAGGTCATGGCTTACATCCTATTCACGGCCTATGTTCAGTAAGGCTCGTTAAGAAGTTTAAGGGTCATTTTTGGCTGGGAGTCCAAGGATCAGTCAAAGACCAGTCGAAGGGACATTCAACTATTTTAGTTCTTAGTCAAAGACTTCATTTATTTCGGTCTTAGTTATTTATTATTCTTTATAATTTTTGAGTATGGCTTTTCACCTGATCCTACTCCTTACGATGTGGGGGTCTCAAATCTCATTCATTCACTTTTCAATAAAATTTTATAGAGAAATCTCTCTTTTGTTCTTTGTAAACTTTTCTGATTACTTGGTGGTTAGCCATTGATTATTTCGGTTTATCAAGTATCGTCCATTACACTTGACGCAGCCTTCACCCAATTGTCTTGTTGGGACGTTCAAGTAGTTAAAGCGGCTTAAAGATTTTCGGGAACTTTGTTCTCACGCCTTAACATCCTTTTTTCGCGGATCCAATCAGTCAGCTTAGTTACCCCCATGTTTCAAGCCTTTCACCGCGAGTTTGGCCCTAAGGATCTTTGGGTTTCAACCCACCCCTTAGCATCTTCTCCGTAAATCCGTTTGGAGTTAAGGATTTACCAACCATAGCCGATCAAGAGTGTGATATTTCTAGGAAGATCGTATCAAGTTGTATCAGAGCCAAACCTTTAAAATTGGTATTATCTATCCTTTTATAGTCTCTCAAAATTCTGCCTTATCTTTTCTTTCTTTTGTAATATCCCAGATCCATATCAGAAAAAAAATCAAAAAAATCAAAAAAATCGAAAAAAAGAGATCTAGTTGAATTTGAAATTATTTTCTGTCTATCTACTCTTTTCATTCTTCATAATCCGCTTGAAATTCTGTTTTGGTTTGGGCTTAAATCGAGTTTTCGATTTAGTTCTATAAGCCGAGGAGAGTTTCTAGTGTTGTGAGGACCTTAAGAGTGCCGAGTGTTTAGTGAAACACTTGTGAGTATTTTACTAACCGTTTGTTTTTTTTTGGCGAGGTATCTTAATGTCATTTGACCTTACCGACGGCGAGTATTCATACTACACGTTTTGTGATGGAAATCACATCCGGTGGGTCAATCCTAAGGAGACCACGAACTCTAAACTGAACTAGCTAACCGAACTGATGGAACGGATGAGCCAGCTGATGGATCGGCTAGAAGTTCATCCGAGAAAATCAGATGGGGAAAAGGAAGCAACCAGAACCATGAGGAACCGGACCATCTGAGAAGAAATCGCAACCAGAAGGAATTCATCGATAATCCATTCTACGCAGATGACCACACGTCCGAAGTAAGTCGTACCCGACACCAATACAATCGAGGCGCTCATCGTGACCAGAAAGATCGACGCGGGCTTAACCACGGGTCAGACCACGGCCACGAGCAGAATTACCCATACGGAAACGACCAATACTGCAGACAAGAACGGAATGACCCCGATGCAGCCTGAAGCCGACTCGTCAATGACCTTGGAGGTTTGAAGCTCCGAATTTCACCCTTTTACGAAAGAACGATCCTGATGCTTACTTGGAGTTGGAGAAGAAGATCGAGATCGTGTCCAGTTGCCAAAACTTCATGGAATCAACTTGGCAGCCACGGAGTTTCATGGGTATGTAGTTGACTGCTGGGACCAGATCATTACCAATCGTAGACGTAACGGGGATCGACCTGTTGAGACTTGGGATGAGATGGTGGGTCTGATGCGGCGACGGTTTGTTCCAAACCATTACAACCGGGAACTACACAATAAACTCAGGTGCTTGACTTAGGGTACCAAGAACATTGAAGATTGTTACCGGGAGATGGAGCGGCTAATGCTCAAGGCTGACGTGGAAGAGCTGGAAAATGCTACTATGGCGCAGTTTCTCAGTGGTATGACCCGGGACTTGCAGGATCGTAAGGAGATAGAGAGCTTCTGGACATAATGACAATGATGTCATGATACTCGCACATGAGATCTTCTTCAACGAACACAAGAAAAACTTTACTCTGGACCAGGTGTGGAATGAGCTACGGAATGACCAGAAGTGGTGTGAGGTATCTGCAAATAAAACTGAAGGAGTGGCTAAAAGAAGAAGCTGTGACGACTTTCCACATTCATCAAGTTTTGTCGCAGTAGAAGGATGATGTGATCACGGAACCGGAAGCACAAGTGAAGGTTCCGAAATCAGCCTTAGTCGTGCCAGAGGATCCTGTGACACGGTCAAAGTCCCGGAAGCTTACTGAACTGTTCAAAATTTGCTGCATGAAGTTAAGTTTGGAACTGACCAGCTTACATACAATGTCTTAACCATACTCATGTACCACAGTTCTTGCTGAGGTTGGCCGCAGTGTAAGTCATGGTACTCTTTTTTTTTTTACACTTGGTTTTGTCTCAATGGATTTTCTGGGTGGGATTTTAACAAGATCATGGCTTCCATCCCATTCACGGCCAATGTTCATTAAGGCTCGGTAAGAAGTTTAAGGGTCATTTTTGGCTAGGATTCCAAGGGTCGGTCAAAGGCCAGTCGAAGGGACATTCAACTATTTTAGTCCTTTGTCAAAGACTTCATTTATTTTGGTCTTACTTATTTATTACTCTTTATAATTTTTCGAGTATGACTTTTCGCCTAATCCTTCCCCCAATAAAAACGATGTGGAGGTCTCAGATCTCATTCATTCACTTTTCAATAAAATTTCTTTGAGAAATCTCTCTTTTGTCCTTTGTGAATTTTTCTGATTATTTGGTGGTTAGCCATTTATCAAGTATCATCCATTACACTTGAAGCAGCCTTCACCTAGTTGTCTTGTTGGGATGTTCAAGTAGTTAAAGCAGCTTAAGGATATTCAGGAACTCTCACGCCTTAACATCATTTTTCCGTGAATCCAATCAGTCAGCTTAGTCACCTCCTTTTTGCAAGCCTTTCACCGCGAGTTTAAGGCTAAAGATGTTTGATTTTCAATCCACCCCTTAGCATCTTCTTCGTGAATCCGTTTGGAGTTAAAAATTTACCAACCATAGCCGATCAAGAGTGTGATATTCCTAGGGAGATCGTATCAAGTGGTATCAGAGCCAAACCTTTGAAATCGGTATTATCTATCATTTCATAGTCTCTCAAAATACTGCCTTATCTTTTCTTTCTTTTGTAATATCCGAGACCATAAAAAAAATCAAAAAAATCAAAAAAAGAGATTTGGCTGAATTTGAAATTATTTTTTGTCTATCTACTATTTTCCTTCTTCATAATCCGCTTGATATTCTATTTTGGTTTGGGCTTAAATCGAGTTTTTGATTTAGTTCTACAAGAACTGAAGAGAGTTTCTAGTGTTGTGAGGACCTTAAGAGTGCTGTGAGTGAAACACTTGTGAGTCTTTTACTAACTGTTTGTTCTTTTTGCGAGGTATCTTTATGTCATCTAATCCTACCGACGGTGAGTATTCATACTACACGTTTCGTGATGGAAATTACATCCGGTAGATCAATCCTAAGGAGACCATGAACGCTAAACTGAACCAGCTAATCAAAATGATGGAATGGATGAGCCAGCGGATGGATCGGCTAGAAGTTCAGCCGAGACAATCAGATGGGGAAAAAAGAAGCAATCAGAACCGTGAGAAACCGGACCATCTGAGAAGAAACCGCAGCCGGAAGGAAGTCATCGATAATTCATTCTACGCAGACGGCCACACATCTGAAGGAAGTCGTACCCGACACCAAAACAATTGAGGCGCTCGTCGTAACCGGGAAGATTGACGCAGGCATAACCACGAGTCAGACCACGGCCACGAGCAGAATTACCCATACTGCAACAACCAATACTGCAGACAAGAACGGAACAACCCCGATGCAGCCTGAAGCCGACCCGTCAATGACCTTGGAGGTTTGAAGCTCTGAATATCACCCTTTTACAAAAGAACGATCCCAATGCTTATTTGGAGTTGGAGAAGAAGATCGAGATCGTGTTCAGTTGCCAAAACTTTATGGAGAGGAAGAAAATCAACTTGGCAGCCACGGAGTTTCATGGGTATATAGTTGACTGGTGGGACCAGATCTTTACCAACCGTAGAAGGAACAGAGATTGACCTGTTGAGACTTGGGATGAGATAGTGGGTCTGATGCGGTGTTGGATTATTCCAAGCCATTATAACCGAAAACTACACAATAAACTAAGGCACTTGACTTAGGGTACCAAGAACATTGAAGACTATTACTAGAAGATAGAGCGGCTTAGGGTCAAGGCTGATTTGGAAGAGCTGGAAGATACTACTATGGCGCGGTTTCTCAGCGGTATGACCCGGGACTTTCAGGGTTGTATGGAGATAGAGAGCTACCAGAACCTGGCCAACATGTACCACAAGACTGTATTGGTGGAACAGCAGTTGAAGAGAAAGATTACTGCCCAGTACGGATCCAATTCACCACCCGGAGACAAGCCGAACTATCCCAACCGATCCGACGCCAAGTTTAAGACCGATCCAAATCTGACTTGTTCTACAACCGATTACAAAGGCAAGACTGAGGCTAATCTGGTCAGAAGCAGAGATATTGAGTGCTTTAAGTGCCGATGCAAAGGACACTACACCAACAAGTGTTCAAACCAGCAGGCAATAATTTTACTCGACTAAAGCGAGATTGTGTCAGATGATGAGGAGTGTACCAGTCTAGTATTCGACGATGACAAGGAGCATGTGGCTGAAGGCCGTCAAGTATTCGACGATGACACTTTTAATATTTAAGGCCGAGTGAGATCTAGCATGCTTGCAAGACAACCTTTTGTCTTGCTGATTTTCAAGGAAGCTTTAGCTAGTGCTACTGACCCTGCGCTGGAACTTCCGAGCAGCATTTTTTCTGTTTTGCAGGAATTTACAGATGTGTTTTCAAAGAGTAACCCAGGCGGCTTACCACCAATCTAAGAGATCAAACACCATATCGATTTTGTACCCGGTGCTTCACTACCAAACCGTCCTGCATACCGCACCAACCCAGTGGAGACTAAAGAGCTGCATAGGCAAGTAGGCAAGCTTATGGAGAAATACTACATCCAAGAAAGCATGAAACCATGTGCTGTGCTCGTTTTACTGGTACCCAAGAAAGACGAGATCTGGAGGATGTGCGTAGACTGCCGCGCCATCAACAAATCCGGATGAAGGACGGTGATAAGTGGAAAACCGCTTTCAAAATCAAACATGGTCTGTATGAGTGGCTTGTCATGCCATTCGGTCTTACTAACGCACCCAGCACTTTCATGCGTCTAATGAACCATGTCC